TGAAAAGTTTTTTGTTGTTGTTGTTGTTGTGCATAGCAGCCGGTTCTTCGATGATGATGATGATGATGATGACGACCAAAAAAAAGTTTGGAATTATTTTGGATCGTTTTTTTTTCTTCGTTCCATTTGGAACGAAAAAAAAATCATTATTAGTACGCTGGTTTGTTTTTTGCCACTGCTGCTGCTGCTGCTGTTGCTGCTGTACCACTGACCGATCATATTTGTTTTTTTTTTTTTGCACTTTTTTCCATGGCCATTCATGGATCGTTTTTTTTTTTTTTTATTTTGGCTGGGCATACGTTATTGATGCTTTTGAAATAAATAAAAAAAAAGATTTGCTGATGATTTTGGTCTTTTTGTTTTTCGTTTTCGTTTTCGTTTTCGTTTCATCATTACGATACACAAAGTCATTACGTTTCAAGAATAAAATGAAATGAAATGAAAAAACAAAACAAAAAAAAAAACGACGATGAATTTCCAACTAACGAATTGCGATTCCATTCCATTCCATTCTTTTTTTCAGTTTACATTTACCGTTATTCTTCATGACCAGGGTGTTTGTTTGTTTGTTTTTCATTTTGCTTTTGGATATTAAAAAGCTTTTCTCTCTTTTTGTCCTGATCTACTACTACTACTTTGGGTGCTTTGAAATTGAGTTCAAATTTTGTTTGTTTGTTTGTTTTTTTTCGCTGTTTTTCATTTCGTTAAGAATTCAATTTTTCATTGGAATTATTATTTTAACGAAATCAAGACAGAAAAAAAATTTTCTGCCGTTCAAAATGAATAAAATCGGTAGATCATCAATACACCATACAATGGTCGAATCGAAATGGAATGAAAAAAAATCAAATATCCATGTTCCAAAAAGAAAATCAGATGAAATCAGATGACCTGGAACAACTGGAACAACAACAACAACAAAATGGCTAATTGAATCTTAATGTTTTTTTTTCTACTTTTCATCAAAAACACAATCGTCTCTCTCGGTTTTTCTCCATGATGATTGGAGAACAACAAAAAAAAAAAAAAAAAATGGCAAACAATCTCATAATGATGATGATGAAATAAGAGATTTGATTTCACCACCGTATTGGATGGATTTGAATGTCAATATCAAATTATTTTATATATAGAGATGGATTGATTGATTTGAAAATCTCAATTTCTTTTTTTTCTGTGATTCGATCCAACAAACAGGCATTCATTGAACACAAACATCAAAACAATTTATTTTTGTGTTGTTTTTTACAACGAGTCTAAGTGCGATAATTGACTCTTTTGCACTCAATAATGGGGAAAAAATACTGGCATTCTATAGATTCATTTTTTATGTTTGTTAAAATGAATAAATCGATCGATCGATGTGTGTGTGTGTGTTCGATGATCAAGGGGAAAACTTGTTGATTGCCAAGATCGATTGTCAAAGATGTGTGTGTGTGTGAAGAATGAAAAAAAAAGAAAAAAAAGGTGAAAATGTCAAAGAACAATACCAATGGCAATGGAAAATTTTTGTTTTCAATAATAATAAAAAAAACAAACAAACAATCAAAAAAAAGTTTACATAAACATTGATTTTCATGTCGATTATTTGTAATTTGACACGTCAATTTTTTTTTTTTTGATTGTCGCCATTGTCGTCAATCAAATATAACCAATGATGATGACCAATGACCTTTTTTTTAGGTATGGGTCATACATATACGTGCATGGCCTGTCTCGTCTGGTCGTCGTCGTCGTCGTCATCATCATCATCATCATTGCTGTTACTAATAATAAATGTATGTGATGATGATGACATTTATAACAACAACAACAACAACAACAACAACAACAAAACACCAATTATCTTTGTCCGAACATGCAGGTATTTTTCATCAATTTTTTTTTCTTTATGTCAAAATATTGAAAAATTCAATAGATTTTATATATAGGTTTAATTTTGATTAATAGAAAGAAAAAAATTTTATCATCATCATCATCATCATCAGACATTACTCAATAAAATCGTGAGATTGCGATTGCGATTGTGATTGTGATTGATTCAATTCAATTCAATTCAAATCAAATCGTTTTACCACCGACTGTGTTTGTTTGTTTGTTTTTTTTTTGACAATTAAAATGCAAAACAAAAATGATGTTATTGTGTCTGTAAAAAAATTGCTGCTGTGAAACGATATTTATACACACACACACAATCTGTTTGTTTTTTTTCACACTTTATTTTATTTTTTTGTTCTCATTTCAAGAGAACAAAACCTTTTTTTTCGGCCTATATATAATGATGTCATCGTCATCATCATCATCATCATAACGATATCGATACACACCCACCACCGCCACCACCTCCTTATTCAATGTAGCATCATTATGGCCGAGTTTTGGATTTTTTTTTCTCTTCATTTTCTCAGAATTTTTTTTTTGTCTCTTGTCTAACGATCGATCCGTCGGCTGGATATTTTTTTTTTTTTTTTGTTCACCATATAAGATGATCGTTAATTAAGACATCCAAGTGACAAATGGTGATTTTTTTTTTTTCTTTTTCTTTTTTCTGGTTCACTAAAATAGATTCTTACTGGAAATGTAATGTAACACGAATATAGAAGTAAATAATTGGTCCAATTTATATTTATGTGTAGTGTAGTATACTGAAGATATTTACAACATTTACGTGTTATTTGTTCTGATGATTGTCGCTGTTGTTGTTGTTGTTGTTGTTGTAGTTGTTGTTGTCATCTGAAAAGTTTGGCAACCATACACACAAATGACGGAAAAGTGAAAACGAGAAAAATAACACTCAAAACTCAAAAGAAATCATTTAAAATGATGATATTAAACCACACAATAATAAGATAATGATGAATGAATTTGAAAATAAAAATAAAAAAATTAAAAAAAAAATTCCCTATATAACCCTGAGGGTTATTTGACTTTCGATTATTCAACATGATTTTTTACTTTAAAAATGAAATAATGGATGAACCATTTTCATTTCATCTAGGACATCAATTTAGTCTGAATAACCAACCAATGAAAACATCTGGATCAAGACCCTATGTGGGGGATATAAAAAAAAACAGAAATGTTTCAGGAACAACCATATAATTGATTCAAAATCAATGAACACAATGGGTACAATTCAAATACAACACACACACACACACACACACACACAATGAAATACGAATTTTATTCAATTATTGATTCATTCGATGATGATGATGATGATGATGATGATAGAAATCCATTTTTTTCCATTTTGTACATACAGAAAAAAAGTCCATGTTTTGTTCCATATATCCAAATATCAAATATCAAATGAATTGATCACTGTGTGTGTGTGTGTGTGTGTGTGTAGTGATTATCTGAATATTTGATTGAAAAATGAATGAGAAAATCAAATATTTTTCAAATTTAAAATTTAAATTTTACGTATTTCATTTTTTTCTCCTGTAGAATAAAAAAAAAAAATTGTCATTATGAATCAGAATTCAGTATGTTGTGTACATTGAAAACATTATACTTGCGGCAGAATTCAGTGGAAATTGAGATTGTTGGAAATGTTCTGGAAATATTTTTCTTGGTGAATAATGAATGGCGAAAAAAAAACAACAACATTTGAAAGAATTTAAATTCAAATCAATCATAATCATTTGAATCAAATATTCATTGATATATCACGTATTTTATGAAATTGAGATTGAGATTGAAATTCTTAAAATAGAATATGTGTCTCTGTGTGTGTGTGTGCATTCATCTCAATTTTTGTTTATTATGTAATTTGATATAAACGGTGAATATATTGAAATTGAATAATGTAATCATTCATCATTCATCATTTATCGTTTATAATATTTCGATAATTATGTTATCATCCGACAAATAATAATAACGATGATGATGATGATGATGATGATGATGAATGGTAAATGTTGATTTTGATTTTGAAAATCACATTTGGTCCCATTTTAGTATATTGAATATATGATATATAAAATTACCGCTGTGGGTGTTGACCATATAATATATTTGTCTGTTTTTTCTTACTGGCTTTTTACCCTGCAGCGTATGTCGTAGGTCATCATTGTCATGTTCAACAACAACAACAACAAAAGTGTACGACCCAAAAATAGGCGTATCTAGCTACACATATCTAACTATAAGGTGAACAGCAAGCTAGTCCCGATAAGGTAGCTATAGCTTATTCTTATACCAAAGTTGATTATATATGGTATATAAATATGAGAGAAAAAAACACCGGTGGCAACACAGACAAAAAAAAATTCAATTTCAATTTAAAAATTTTTTTTTTGCTGAAATCTTTAATGAATTTAAATGAATGAGAACAATACTCAATCAATCAATCAATCAATAGTCAATCATGTCATCAAGATCATTTTTTATGGATACATTATTGGATCATCATCATCATCATTCGACCAGTAATCATCATCAACAATCATCATCACAATATAATCGAATATTCAATGATCATAATCAATATGATTTAAATATTAATCCAGCAGCAGCAGCAGAAGTGCAATCAAACAAACAACAAACATCAATAGCAATGGCATTACAACAACAACAACTACAACAACAACAACAACCGACAACAACGGAAACAGCATTCAAATCATTATTGAATGATTATCAAAAATTCTATTCCAATTATATAATGGGACCAGCATTTTTTCTTTCACAAAATCTACTACCACCACCGCCAACCCCACTGCCACCACCACCGCCACCAGTATTATCACCAAAATCACGAGAAGAATTATTGATCAAGTTCAATCACCATCATCAACGACATTATCAATTACCGACAAAAAAACTGATGAAAAAATCCATTGAAATCGAATACGATAAAGATGGCGATGACCATGATCATGATGATGATGATGATGAGAGACAAAAAATGATAACAAGAAAACAATCAACCAGAACGTCCAGATTGGATAAAGTGAAGAAAATTAAATGTTCAACAACAACATCATCATCATCATCATCGATGAAAACATTGAAAAATGACGATAACCAAACAAAAGCTTCATCTACATCCGGTTCATCATCATCATCGATGACTATGGCAACAACAACGGCATCAAGTTCATCATCATCATCATCATCATCATCATCAAGCCGGCTACGTACAGCATTCACATCGACACAGATTATACATTTGGAACATGAATTTGCAAAAAGTATGTATCTATCAAGATTACGACGTATTGAAATTGCACATTATTTAGGATTAAGTGAAAAACAGGTAAAAATTTGGTTCCAAAATCGTCGTGTTAAACATAAAAAAGAACAACATAATAATAATAGCCATGATCAATATCATCAACGATTTATTGGTAATAGCCAAAAAAGTCCAAATCCAACATCACCATCAACAACAACAACAACAACAACGACAACAACAACAAATCGAATATGTAAATGTGAATGTGAACATCATCAATGTTCATCATCATCATCATCATCATCGATCATTGTAAATAAAACAGGCGATAATTCAGAAATTATAATCAATTCAAACAATACAAAATCATCGATCGATGATGATGATGATTGTGATCAATTATACGGTGATGATGATGATGATGATGATGAATGAATGGGAATAAAAATGAATGACCTGAAAAAGGTCATTCCGGTCCGGTTTTTATGATTTATTACCAACAACAACAACAACAACAACACCGAACAACGAAAAAAAAACTATATCACAAATATGTCACCAATAATGGTAAATAACAATGAGAATTTTTGTTTTCGAACCATATGTGCGTTCGTGTGTGTGTGGACAAATTATTCATTGAGAACAACAACAACGAAAAAAAAATGACCGATGGCCGTTTGATTATAATTATAATGACCATAATAATCATAAATCTTTTATTATATGTGTATATTGTTTTGATAAAATAAAAACAAAATTGATTTCATTTTTATTATATATATAAAAAAATTGTAAATAAATAAAATTTTTTCTTGTAAACAAAGTTTGAAAAGTTTTTGAAAATTTTTTTTTTTATTTATGACTAACAGACAAAAAAGGAGTGTGTGTGTGTGTGTGTGAATGAATGAGAGTGTCGAGTTCCAGGAACTGGATTTTTTTTTGTTCATTGGAAAAAAAATTGAAACACAAGAACCGTTCATTTTTTTTTTTGGCTTCGCATGCACAGAGAGAGAGAGAAACATTTACAAATCAATCAATCTAACGGCTGTTTTTTTGGGCACACGAGTCTTTCATGTATATATATACATGTTCAGCCAAATCAATCAATCAATCAATCAATAATGAAATGATAATGAAAATTTCATTGTGAATATAAACTAAAAAGAAATCAAATCAGCTAATCAATCAATCAATATTTTTTTTATTATGACAAAAGGTAACAACAACAACAACAACTGAATTGGCGTTGAAACTGTGGACCGAATGGATTTTTTTGTTTGTTTGTTTGCACGTTTTTTTTTTGGTAGACAAAGGATTCAAATTTACATTTCAGTTCAGTTTGTTTTTGGTTTTGGTTTTGTGCTAAAATAAAAATAGACATCAGACACAATATTTCAGTTTTCTGGTTCAAATTTCTGTGAAAAAAAAACACTAACTCTCGTTGATACAATCAATACAGAAATGGAACAGAAATTATTTGCACTTCTATATGTCGTTTATTTTTTGGCACCTGAAAAAAATTGTTTGTGATTTATTTCAACGAAAAATTTATCATCATCATCATCATCCATTTATTTTTGTTTCATGTGTGTGTGTGTGGAAGATGAAAATTTCGCAATTTCAAAAACACACACACACACAAAAGTTTCAAATTTCCACCAATATTTTTTTTTCATAATTTTCGCTTCAATTCAAAACCAATTTTCATCATCATCATCATCATCATCATCATTATCAACACGATTATTATGATTGATTTGATTTTTTTCCTTTGGACCGGAATTTTTTTTTCTCCTACCATTTATTTGGTTTGGTTTTCAGTCAACATTAATTCTAGACAAAAATCTCCTGGATTTAATTTACCATAAAAAGAAACAAAATTCAATTCGTTTTCATTTTTTTTTTTAAATCCAATCGATTGTTATTACGATCGATATTTTTCGGGTATATAAATAAATTCGGATTGAAAATTATCTTGACGAATTAAAAAGACAAAAGATTTGTCTCGTTGTTCCTGGAACGATGGATAAATTGTTCAACATTCCTTTATATGAATTTTTTTAAAAAAAAAACATCACTAGCTATACATTACCAATCAATGATGACCAATGGTCAAAAAGTATCCATTATTATTAATTTATTTAGTCCATTCTTTATTTGGATCACATTTTGGCCACCAATTTGAAAAGAAATTGAAACTAGCTTCGGGCATATTGTTTGTGTGTGTGTGTGTGTGTGGCCATGTGTTTATTCATTCAATTCAATTCAATTATTGATTGATTATGAATTGAATCAATTTTTATTTTGACATGAACAACAGGAAAAAAAATGGCCAATCAAATCAATTCTACCATGTAATAAGAATCATAATCATAATTCATTATAATTTGTCATAATAATAATCAATGAATGAATGAATAATCGAATGAATATGATTGGTTTACACATACTTGAACAAATATAAAAGATACATTTTTGCATGCAATGGGACCTAGCTTGCGCGGTTCCATATTCAATGGTGCTCATCATATTTCAACCAAATTGCGCGGTGTGTGTGTGTGTAATAAAAATCGGTAATAGATCATTTGATGATCTATGGATCAATTGAACCATAATGATGATCATCATCATTGAATGAATGAATGAATGGATAGCTAATGGAAAATCAAAACAAATCGTTGGTGGTGGTATATTAAATTATGAATTAAAGTCAATCAATAATGATGATGATGATGATGACGATAAAGAAATGGAATGAAATAAGAAGAAAAAAAAACCAGTAAAATACTACCAAGATCAGAGTGACTGTGAATGGAAATACAAAAAAAAAATCCTTTACAAACACAACATACAAATTTACCGTTCACATCCACAACAATCCGGGAAATCTATTCGGTTTTATAATCCTGTTTCAATGTCAAAAACAAAACACAAACACACAACACACAGCCCAAGAGAGAGAGAGAGAGAGAGAGAGAGAGATGGGATTCACAAAAGAAAATGTCAAATGCCGTGCCCGATTTTTTCGTTGTTGTTGTTGTTGTTGAGATTGAAAGAAGAAGCACATAATGTTCATTATCGATGATTTTTGAATCAATTTTTTTTCACTCTTTTTTCATTTCCTTTTTTTTCAAAATTCATTTCACAATTAATAATTGTGATTATTATTATTACCAATCAATCGAAACGAAAGGATTATCCATTATATATTGTACACATTTGACAAATGATAATGAATGAATGAATGAAAAAAATTTTCTTCAAGAGAAAATCCAATTCAATCCAATCCAAAAAGAGAAAAATGTTCTCAGCACACAAAAACAGTTTCATCATTCAAAAAATGGAGAAAATCCTCAATTTTTCATCATCATCATCAATTGATGAACTCACACATACTCGCTGCTCAGATAATTAACCTTTTTAATACTAAATATAAATATATGAGAAGCACAAAAAAAAATGAAAAAATTTTCCTTTAATCAAACAATCATTTGATTAATGATGTTTGAATTCCGTGTGTGTGTGTGTGTGTGTGTGTGTACACCTTAAACGACAAAGGGTTGTGTGTGTGTTGGTGATTAAACAAACAAACAAACAAATAATCAATTTCACATCGTCAACAAACAAACAAACAATGATGTTGATGACTCAATTTACCGTAGGTTTGCATCTCTTTTTTGGATGATTCAATTTGAAAAAAAACGAACACAAACGATGGCCAAATATTGACAGTGAAAAAACGAATGCAAACAATTTTACACAATAATAATAATAATTAATCCTTTTGGTCCATTTGGCCATCGTTTTTTTTTCTTTGATTTAAAAAATTTTCACTTTGATCCAAATGTTTTTTTTTTCCATGGAAATTTCTCATCAAAATTTGAATTTTTTTCAACAACGAAAAAAAAATGAACCGTGATGCAACACAAAGAATAAAAAAAGTGTGAAAATTTATGAAGCAAACAAACAAACAAGAAGAAAAAAAACGGGTTAACAGTAAACAAACCACACATGAAAAACTATAGGGCTAACCCTTGATTTATTTATTTTTTTTTTATTCACACTCACTCACCACTGATTGTTGATTCAATTTCAACGTCAAGTGGGATAATTTATGGCCATTACACCGTGAATCAAAGAACAGAACACACACACACACCGATCCTAAGACACAGACCGAACAAACGAACAAAACGGATGGATGGATGGATGGAAAGTTTTCATTCAAAGTTTTATTATTTATTTATTTGAGATTTTAATTTTTGTTTTGTTTTCTCTTTTCTCTTTTTTTTCTTTTCCAATGAAAACAACAATATTGAATGTGAATATGGGGTTAATAAAATAATTGCCGGTAATTGTTTTGGGATCCGTTTTTTTGTTGTTGTTGTTGTTGTTGAAATTCAATCCATCCATCCATCCATATAAAGTCAATTGGCTAAATTAATTGGGTCTTGGATCACATTTACACACACACACACACACAGACAGGGTTACCCTTCTTGGTTTTATTAGCTTTTTCTGAATTCAATTTTTATTCAATTGGATGGATTTTAGTTTAGTTTTTCATGGTCATTGGATTAACTCGTTCGTTCGTTTTTTGCTGCTTGTATACAGATTCAAATATCTTATTATCGGTATTAATGATGATTTTGGATCAATATGACCTTGGAGCTTTGAACATTTTTTTTTGTTTCACCCCTCTCATTTTGATTCATATTCAACGATTTGATTGAGAAATTTGAAAACTTTTTTTCTTCTTATTTAAAGGAAAATTAATTGCCCAATATTATAATCGATTTCAATATTTATTTTTCACTTAACATATGTGTATGAGCAGCACGTGTGTTTTGACCCGAATCATCAATTGAATGATGATGGTAGTGGGAAATGATGTATATATATCAAATATAAGGTAACAAAACAAAACAAAAAAAAATCTTCTGTTTCAGTCCATTTCCATGAAGAAACAGTGTGTGTGTGAACAGTAAAAAAAAAAAAACCGAAAAACCACACAAAGGTAGCCAATGTATATATATATATAAATGACGTCTTTATTTATTTTCAATACGTTTTGTGTGTGTTTTGTGTGTGTGTGTATGTGATTGATGATGACACATCATTTACTTTTTTTTTCTCATTCGCAATACATATGGTCAATAAATTTTTCGATTATCAAACTAAAGATTTTTTTGGTGAATGGAAAAAAAACATATGAGTGTGCATGCAGTGTCGTTCGTTCGTCTCCCGACATTTTCATATCCGAGAACAATTTGTAACCAATTTGAAACTAATTTCAATATCAATACTCGAAAGATTTCTTTTCTGGAAAAAAATTTTTTTCTTTTCATTTTCTTTTTTCTTCTTGGGTTGACAACTAAATTTCAATAATAATAATGATATTCGTTTGTGATTCAAATTTTTCGGTTTTTTTCTTTCTTTTCATCGAATGAAATGAAATGAATTGAAAAAATTTTATTCATTTTCACACATTTTGAATTTTTATGTTCATTTTCCATTTCGTTTTTTGCTGTTGTTGTTGTTGTTGTTGTTGAAATACCATAAAATGACAATCATTTTTTCATTGATGATGAATTAATAATAATCAACGACCGATATTCAGCTACTACCATTCAGTTTGAATGATAAAAGTAATAAAAAACCAATAAATTCCGTTAGAGAGATGTATGCAAAGTAGTGGCCACCACCAATGGAACATATGTGGAACATAAACATGAATCCAATTCGAACATTTGTTTCTTTGCTCTAATTAGATTGTTTTAGATCGGTTTTTTTGTTTGTTTTGGGTGCGTGTGTTCAATCAGAAAAGTTTTCGATATGCCAACCAGTGTCTTTGAACATCATTTTTCCACTGTTTTTTTCATTACGATGGTAATGATGATCATGGATGCAATGTCATCATCGGAAAAATGTTGGCAAACCACTGAAAACATAATGAAATGTACACAAGAAGTAAGTGAAAATTGGTCTTGTATCATACAATTAACATACGATGGTCATAATCAATCATCAAACAAGCGAATCTTGATGAATTGTGGCCACAATGAAGCAATGATTTGTTGTCCAATTTGGAATTTTATTGATTGTTTACGAGATTTATGTTTGAATTCAAAATTAATTTCATCCATATTCATGGCTGATATACAAAAAATTCATCGACATCATTGTCAACAATTTCAATATGATTCCCTGGGATGTAAACAATATGAAAGATTTATACGTAATCCATTCTTGTTGGATCCATTCGATCATGATGATATCATGATGATGAATGTTGCTGAAAAATCTGATCAAACAAATAGATCAATTTTACATTATAAAAATAACGACAATAATGATAGTTTTGATGATTTAAACAGAACATCATTGGCACCAATGTCATTACCACAATTTACAACAAAAATGACCATTAAGAATAAGAAACTATTGTCAGATTTTCTACGGACAATTCGATATTTATTATTCTGGATTGCCATATACAGTTCTATCATTATATTTGGGCCATTTATCTGGAATGATCCATCATCATCAGCAGATGATATCAATGAATAGATTGTAAATGCAAATTGAACAAAAAAAAAAATAAACAAATGATGATTTGGAATAATCGATTGTTGACAATCGATTCTATCAATGTACATTCAAAAGATTCGAAAATTTCATTTCATTTCAAAAAAAAAGAATTATTAAAATTTTATTATTTCCATTTTCTTCACTATTATATAATAATGATGATTATAAATGTGTAATAAAGATAAAACAAATTATTTACAACGCGAAAACAATAATAATAATGATGATAATCCGAAACCGTTATATAACTAATGATGATGATGATGATGATGATGATGATTATGAATGATGATCAAATGTTGTGCATATGCAAATATCAATATATAATTTATATAATATGGATAATTGTTCGTGAAAGATCCATATGGGCATTTGTGAGAAACGAAAAAAAAATAAATAAAACAACGACGACTAAAAATACAACTCAACAATGGAAATATTCACAAAGATTCATTAAACAAATCGGTAAGAAAAAGAGAGAGATATTAATATTTTCGGTTCGGTTCAATGATTTGGGCATTTTGTATAATGATTGATATAAAATAATTAGTGATGAATGTGGAAAGAAACTAAAAAAAATGAAAAATTCTCCTAATTGATTTATTACAATTTTATATATTTCAGATTTTGAATCATCATTTTTAATAATTAATAATTAATTAATTAATTTAGACTTTATATTCTTGATATTGTAATGATGGCCGATGTTTACGATAAACTTTCATTTTCATCATTTGATTATCAATATTATTATTATTATTATTTGATTCGGATGTTGTTGTCGTTGCTGTTGTTGTAGCAGTTGAGATGATGATGATGATGATGAATCAATTGTAGTTCTAGTTCGAGTTTGAATATTATTGGCCACATTGTTAACATCATCATCATTGATTGTTAACATAATTGGTGTTTTATCACCATTTTTATCATCATCATCATCATTATCATTATGATGATCCTTACAACAACAGCTAGTTGATTCTGATGTTGTCGTTGTAGTAGTAGTAGTGGTAGTAGCTTCTGATGGAATTTCCGTTTCCATATCCGTTTTAGTCATCATCATCATACAGCATATAATTATGATCATGATCATCATCATTATCATGATCATGATCATCATCATCCTGATCATCACCATCTTGTTTCAATGCCAACATTAATGATTGTTCCTGTAATCGTAATTCACGACGTTGTTTTCGCCGTAAAATTGTTGCCATAGATAATGTTGATGTATCGGATGATGTATCCGATGTTGTACTGGTTGTGGTTATCATTGTTTCCATTGTTGCCGTCGCTGTTGTCGATTTATTATTGGAGGTCTGTGTCATTTTTTTCAATTGTCCAATCAATAATTCTTCTTCCGTTGTAATTATATCATCAATTTCTTCCGGTACAGGTGTCACTATGAATCGTGATGATTTCATTGTTGCTGATGATGCTGTTGTTGTTGTTGTTGACCGATCATTGTCGTTGTTGTTGTTGTTGTTGGCGTTATTGATGAAGGAAGTGGTGTTATCGATTGTGGTTGCTGTTGTTGCTGTGGCTGTTGTTGTTGTTGTTGTTGTTGTTGTTGAGCACGTGTTTGTTGTATTAGCTGTTGAAAATGATATTGTCGGGCCATTTCTTCTAGCCATTGTCGTGGTAATGTACAATAATTGTTCTGTACTGTTTGTTGGTATGGTTGTTGTTGTTGTTGTTGTATCGAATTTGTTGTTGCTGTTGTCATCGTCATCGGATGTGGAAATGGATTCAATTGTGGAAATTGTTCTGTTTCCATAGGTGTTGTCATATGGATTGAATAATGTTGTTGTTGTTGTTGCTGTTGTTGGTGCTGCTGTTGCTGTTGGCGACGTTGTTGATGTAATTGCGGTAGTAATTGTTGTGATAATCGTTGTGGGAGTTGTATGGGCAATGATTGACGATTCGAACGGCGTATTGAACACTGTTTGAAAAAAATCAAATAAAAAATGAAAATGAATAAAGACAATGATAAAAAAATGTAGTGAATCTCTACAAAGTTTGATTCAAACAAAATGAATCTCTATAATCTATATTTATATTAAAAAAAAATGAATATAGATTATAGAGATTTATTCACACTCTCTCGCAATTTATATATTTCAATAAGAGATAGAAAGATATATATATAGAAATGAATAATAAAGCTTACAGGAAGTGCCTCTTCACTTGCACTTCGTGTTAATGAATTAAGACCATTATTGCTTCCAATACTGCCACCATCAAGTTGTTGATTATGAAGACCAAAATTATTATTTTGATTGAATAATAAAAAATTGCCAACACCACCACCACCACCACCACCAACACCACCACCACCACCACCATCAGCAGCAGCAGCAGCAGCAGCATTTGTCATTGACAATATTAGATTATTAAAACCGGAATATTGTGAATTTATATCGGCATTTAAATCTGAATCGAATGCACTACCATTTTCTTCATAATCATAATCATCATCTTCAACTTCGTCATCATCATCATCATCATCATCATCATCAACATCATCACAGATATCAACTTCATCATCGTCATCACCATCGTTATCATTATCATCATCAACATCATCGGATGAACCATCCATAAGATTACAATGATTCATACGACGACGTCTTCGACCACCATTTCTATTACGGTCACGATTGCCACGATTACCACCACCAATACCATTGATGTTATGTTGACGACCACCACCACCAACACCAACACTACTATTGCTAATATCATTTCCGGTGGCAATCATATCATCTTCACGCGCTGTTGTCGATGTTGTAGTTGATGTTGTAGTCGATGGTGAAATTGGTGGTAATGTTGTAAAATATGATGTAGATGTTGGTGCCGTTGTTGTATATGGATTGTAACCGGTCGATCGAGTCCTGTATTAAAAATCAAAAAAAAAATATTTTGAAATTCAATGAAATTGCAATGGAAATTATGATGACCACATACCTACAAGTTGTTGGTGGTGGTGGTGGTATCATTCGAGCAGTTTGTTTAACAAAACCTTGTAAATTCGTTCCCATATAATAATCAAGATCAAATTTCATCTGTGAAGATTGATTTGATGATTTACCACCACCAACATCTCCACTACTACTACCACCACCACCAACACCACTATAAAGATCTGAACTATCGGTAGTTGCCACTGTACCTCCTCCACCACCAACACCATTATTGCAAGCACCTGTATTACCACCAACGGATGTTGAAAGGCCACCAGGTGCCGAAGCTGGTGCTGAACCACCACCACCAAGTTCATCCAATTGTTGTAATAGATGTGCAAGATTACGAATTTTTATTGTTGATGATGATCCAATCACACCACTACCAACACTAACACCACCACCACCACCACCGGTGCCACTACTAATTCCTGCTCCAGGAATACCGCTTCCGGATACGGATGTTGATGATGTTGGACAATGAAGACCATCGTTTGATAAATCGCCACCAACAACAGCCGTAACCTTTTGGAATTGTTCATTAATCTTCATCAAACCTGAAATCAAATAAGAAAAAAAAAAGAATCAGTAAGCAAAAAAAAAAAAAAAAAAAAACGTAAGAAAATTCTAATCGAATTCAAAGTTAATTAACTACAATAGCTAACTGTTATTCGTTTGTTTTGGATTGAATTTCCAAAAAATTTTTTCTGCTATTGTTGTTGTTTGTGAAATTGAAAATTCTGGTCACACAAACAACAACAACAACAATACTAGAATATTTTTGGCCTGTATAGATGGTTCTTGTTGTTGTTATTGTTACGAAAACAAAATGAAATTCTTGGTAAATCGATGCATTTCTTCATTTCTTCATCTCTCTCTCTCTCATCTCACACACATGCAAAAACCAATCATCGAAGATGAATGATTCTTAAAATGAATCAAGAAAAAAAAACAATCATTTGTGTTGAAATAGTCAACAAACTTTCACTATACGCGGCTGTTTTTGTTTTGTTTTGTTTTGAAAATCAATTAATCACCAAATATCCACACACACAAACACACATCTGAACGCGTATAACAACGACGACAATAATAGCGGAGAAAAAAAAAAATCATCAAATTGTCAACCAAACGATCCCCTCTACGAATCGACTAACGATCCAAAAAAAAAAAAAAAAAAAAATTCGAATATTTTACAATCATATCATCATCATCATCATCATCATCAATGGTTGATCAGAATCAGATGAACAAAATGAACCATTTTTTTTTGTTGTTGTTGTTATGGTTGTTCCTGTGCGAGGGATTGAAAATGGGGAAAGGTTAAATGATGATGATGATGATGATGATGGTTAAATGATCTTTGGTGGCCATATGATGATGATGAAGAAAGAAACACATCAAAATTTCATTCAACCTAAATTCTTGTATTCTTTTTTTTTCTCTTTTAAACATGAAAAAATTTTAAATGTAAAATTGATGTTTTTTTTCTCTCTCTGAAAAAAGACGAAAAAACTTTCGATCCTGAATATAGAGAAAAAAAATAGCGTGTGTTTCAACTGTGTTGGAACTTTTACGTTTTCACGAAGAAGAACAAGAAGAAGAAGACGAAGACGACGAAAAAAAAATGAATTTTTTTGCCCTTCTTTATGATGATTCAAATTATCGATTATTGTGTGTGTGTGTGTGTGTGTGTGTATATGGTGGAAAATAATAACAACAACAACGACAACTTTGAATTTGGAATGAAAATCCTGGACTCTTTTTGGTTGTCGTTGTTGTTGAATCTTTACAGGATTGTAATCGATATTTTTTTTCTTTCTTTCTTTCTTTCATTCATTCTTCTTATTTTACATCGACAGTTTGTTTTTTTTTCACAATGACAATGACAAGACCTCGATATGTGTGTATGTGTGCCATCCATCCATCCATCCATCCATCCATTCGAATGGATGGATGGATGGATTGGATTGGGATCCTGGATTCGTTTTTAGATGAATGGCTAGAATATTGATCAGCAGCAGCAGCAGTGGAATGAGTGAAAGAGAAAAAAAATGGAAATCGGCGTTTCATCTCGTTCGTTGCAACAGAAAAAAAACGAAAAATCTTTATTTCCAAGAAGAAACACACAATGAGAAAAAGATAAGTTTGGCTTTTTTTTTGGCCAAACGAATAAAAAATTAATTTTTTTCTACATATAAATACCGAAAGGACAGAAATGAAAGAAAAAATATTCGGGTAAAAAAGAGAATCGATGGAAGCATAAATGTGAAATTCTTCACATATATCGAAAAAAAGACCACCATCGTTTTTTTTCAAAATTCATGAATCCACCACCACCACCATCAGGCTAAATTCTTGATTCTGGTTGTTGTTGTTGTTGTTGTTGATTCAACGAATATTTTGTATTCAAAGTTCCAATAGCAAAAAAAAAATAAAACAAAAACACAGAGAAAAAAAATTTCTTGGAGCAATAAATTTTTTTTTGTTCATTGAATGCTTTAGAAGAAGAGCGAAAAAAAACAAAATCAAAATCAAAGCCGAAACGATTCATTTAGTGAAAAGTAAACTGGGCCTTTAAACAAGCCAAATGAGAAAAAAAAACGATGGATTCTGTTCAATGAAAGTTGGAATGGAGAAAAAAACACACACACACACACAGAGAGAGAGAGAATGAGATTGGAAAATTTATTTATTTTTTTTTACCATTCTGGCTTGGATTCTGTAAAGCATCATCAAAAAAATTCGAATCCTTAATTGATTTAATGAAGCATAGCCGACGTTTTTTTTTTTTTTCTCTCTCTCTCTCTCTCTCATTGGTTCATCATCAAATGTTGATGATGGTATTTTGATAATAAAAAAAAATTTGAACAAATTGCCCTTACGGGCTTTGGTTCGTTGGTTTCAAGAGAGAGAAAGAAAAAAAAACGGGATACAAGGTCGTTTTGTTGTTGTTGTTGTTGTTTCAAAATGTGTTCATCATCAAACACATAAAGCCAATCGCATATACCGTAATAATAAACATCTTAATCATTATGATGATAATATTGCCATTTAATCTTCTATATATACTAAAGACACGAGCTTATAAATAGAAATAAAAAACAAGATATCCAAAATAAACGTCATTTATGAACACACACACACACATTAAACGAACCATTCAATACACCCTGTATATTTATTATATTGAATGGTTATATCATGGTTATTATTCTCTCTATCGCATACAGAATTCTTGTAATCGTTTTTTTTCTTTCCTTCCTTTCTTTTGGTTCTTGATTCCTGATTCCTAATTCCTAATATATATTAAGATGTATTAATAATAAGTAAATAAATAACAATTTTAATTTTGATTCTATCCAAAATGGAGAACAAAAAAAATAAAATCAAGAATAATTTTCCATATGAATAATTTTCATCATCATCAACATCAACATCAACAGAATATGATATGATACCAATTTCATTATTCTTGAATTCTTGGTTTAGTGTATCAAACATAGAAAAAATATCGAATGATTTGAATCATCAATGCTACAAAAAAAAACAGAATCAGAATTAGAATCTTTATATCAGAAGAATAAAAAACAAACAAAATTAAACGATGATGATGATGATGATGTGTGTGTGTGTGTGTTCATAAAACCGAAAAGTAAATGATTTTTTTTTTTTGTTCAGCTTTCTTTTCTTTCTGGTTCTTCAACAGAATTTCCATTCAGAATTCTAATCATCATCGTCATCGTCATCATCATCATCATATTTAACGAATACGTAATTATTTCGCTCAATTATTTGTTCGTTGAACAGAGAAAAAAAATATAGGAATAATGAAAAGGGAATTATTTCGAATTCGAAAATCCGTCTGTATTAGTAAGTAGTAGTAGTTGATTATTTGGTTATTGCAAAGTTATTAAAACCGAAAAAGACGAAGAAGAAAAAGAAGAAAAAACAACGAATAAATGAGGAATGATGATGATAAATGGAACATAAGAAATGAAAAAAAACAACAACAACAACAACAACGACGACTTGAATGATTATGATGATGATGATGATGATGATGAAAACGTAAGTTTTTTTCGTCGTCATCGTATTATTCATTCCAATACACAATCAATTGATCGTTTCACGATTGTTGTGTAATATTATAACAGGAAAAAAAAGTGGGCAAGAAAAAATTTTTTTTTCTTAATTAAGAACAATTCTTCATTCGACCAGTTGTTGTAGTTGTTGTTGTTGTAGATGGATCCAAATTATATTGGTAGACCCTTGGTCTCTCTCTCTGTGTGTGTGTGTGTTATTATTATTACCATTAGTTATATTATTATTATTATAGTATAGTATATGAAATAAATGAAGATCCAAAATAAATGATGGATAAGAAGAATTCGATTACTTTTTCGAATGGATCGATTTTTTGTTCTCGTTCAAGTATATGATGAGTATGTATTTTATTCGTTCTTTCCAATATCAATGTTGTTGTTGTTGTCGCTGTCGTCGTCGTCGTCATCGTTGTTTTTCGTTCGTTATTATTGTCATGCAAGACAATACTTTTCGATGGCAATGATGGTGGTGGTGGTCGTGGTAATGATAGCCAAACTTTAAAACCATCATAAATGAACCATTGTGCAGCTGTTAATGTACCAATCATTATAATACGTGGCATAAGACCTTTCCAAACACCGATTGGTCCAAGTTTACCAAGTACATTAATCCAAGTTGATCCACGTTCTTGATTTAATTTCGATACAACTGTATCAGCAGGATGTGAAACAATAGCACAGAATATACCGGCAATATAACCAGCTACAAATGTAACTGTTAATTGTTCAGATTTACTACATTGATCACGTGGTTTGGGCACAGCATAACGATATAACCATTCAATAGTACGTTCAAAACAGGCAAATTTCATCATTGTATATGGTATTTGACGAAACCAAAGTGGTATAAGACCTTTATAAAAACCGGCCAATCCTTCTTGACGATAAATTAATGGTGCAACACGTCTAAATTCGGATGGACAATCTTTAGATGTTTGTGTACGAACTTTACATGCTTCAAATGGAGCCAATGCAATGTCAGCAAAAAATTCAGCCGAAGCTGATGCAGCCAGATATAGTGATGTACGATAATGATAAGAATATTCTGGTCCCAATGCTTTGGAATAAACATTTTTAAATAATTCATAGAAACCAAATTTACCAAGACCTTGAAATGAATAACCGAATGCAGTTGGTGCCCAGCCACGAACCAGTCCACGTAGGCCACCTTCATGACCATATGAAACCATAAAACCATTGGTTATATTACGATAACGTTTTGGATCAACCTGTATACGACATTTAATTAGATCTAATGGTGTTAACATTGTATGTGTCAAACCGCAGCTAAATGCACCACCGGCAGCACAAAGTAAATAATATTTGGTTGAACCAAATGGAATGCTTTTGTCATTGCATTGTTGTTGTTGTTGTTGTTGTTGTTGATCATCATCAACATTATCTGAACAGGATGCTAAAAGTGAAAAATTCATTTTGATTGCAAAAAAAATTTATCGGAACAAAATCAATGAAAAAAACCAAAATAAAAACGTTATTGTTGCTTGCTTGTATATTAAATACACGTCAAACAGAACAAACGAAAATAAAAAAAAAAATCGAACATTTCAACCAACGTAATAATAACGTCATCTATGACCGTCATCATATTTATGAAACTGAAAACAAAAAAAAAAAAAAAAATTTCCAAAAAGAAAAAAAAATCAATTATAAATCAATATATAAAAGAAAACTTGAGAAAAAACATAAAGTTTTCAAGTCAAGAATTTTACATGTCGATAAAAAAGAGAAAAAAAATTCTATAAACATGAAATTCGATTCTTGATAAGATTCATAATAATAAAAACTTTTAAAAACGATTCTGGATCACACCAACACGACAACACTGAAAATGCAAATTAATCCTTTCAAATATGAAAAAACTTTAACTTGAAATTCTTCAATGATGATGACTATTCAATTGTTTTGGATTACAAATTCTCAGAGTATTTTAGACAGAATATTCTTAAGTAAAAAATAAAAATCAAGATAAAGAATATTGGGCAAGAAAAAAAAAGTTGAAACAAGATTCTGTTTGGTGTGTGTGTGTATGTCACTAAGTTTCTGAATAAGGACCTTATGGCGGTGAATGTCAAACTTTTTTTTTTTTTTTTTTTACTCCACCCGGTTCATTTCACAAAGAAATTCTTGACTTGACTTGGTTTTTTATTTGTCGTTAACAAATGGATCGATAACAATGTGTTTTATTTTTTTCTTCTTCTTCTTCTTCTTTTTAGCCATTGAGAATGGTTGATTGCGGATTGATGGAAACGAGAGTTGGGTGTGTGTGTGTGATGTGATGTGATGTTTGGGGGTGGTACGCGATGCAAAAAAAAACAGAACAGAACAGAATAGAATCAAGCCAACAAACAAAAACAAATTCGGGTTATAAAAAAATGATTATTCTAGTCAATTCTAGAATATTCTACATAGTGATATATGATTCTGTTTTGTCAGGTTTATTTTAATTTATCACAATAATTTCATCATCATCATCATCATCATGTTTTTTGTTCATTCATTCATGGACAACTGATGATGAAAATTATTTCATTTCTGGATGGACCAAAAACACCAATTTGAAATAATAATAATAAAAACTGAGAAATGGCAATCATCATCATCATCATCATCAAAACGACAACTGTTTTAACAAATAAACAAACAGGCAAACAGGCAATGTAATTAAATTTAATTTAATTCAATTGTCCATCGTGTGTAGTTTTGTGCTGTCGTCTGTGTGTGTGTGTGTGTGTGTGTACGACTGAATCATCATCATTGAATTTTTGATCGTTTCATAAATTGTTGAAAATAACCAGAAAAAAAAACAAAAATAATTCGTTGACAGTTCTGGAACTACTGGATTGTCATTGTCGTCGTCGTCGTTGTTGTTGTTGTTGTTGTTGTCAAAACAAGAATTTGGTGCGAAAGAAAAAATTGATTTAAAAACAAAACAAAAAAAATAAATTCTGTATGAAATCATCATCATCATCATCATTATAGTCGTATTATTTAAAAGGCGAAAACACAACAACTGAAAAAAAACATTGTGTCTCCTGGGTATATATTTTTTGGTGCTAACGAGAAAAAATGAAAAAAAAACTTTACCGGAATTTCGAAACATTTAAATCATGTCATGTAAAAACAACAACAACAACAACAACAACATGGCAGTATTTGTGGCATAGTTAAATCCTGATGAATTTTTTTTTTTTTATTTTCTCCAAAGTTTTCAATAAATGTTGTCATTTCCTATTTCAACAGTGGCTGGTTGGTGGTTATTTGATCCCGGATATATGGACAAGAAAAATACAGAACAACAACAACAACAGCAATAAAATTTGTCCGTCTATTATGAATGATCCACACATACGCACATGATTTCGAATGTTTTTATGATTTTGTTTAGTGATCTTAATTTCATCATCATCATCATCATCATGATGATCATCATTGATTTTTCTGGACTTTGAAATATTGTGCAATCACAATTAGATTAGATTACCAAACACACTCATACCAAAAAAAAAAAAAATCATATGATTCACTTCCATTTCCTTTATTATTCATGAACACAAAATGAATACAAACGGCCCGGCCGGAGACAAAAGTTTTTTTCATTTGAAAATTTATTAAAGTTCCGGTTCATATATTGAGTGACGGATTGCGATTGAATCAAAGAAAGAATTTTTTGTGTGCGTGTGTGTGTGTGATGAGACTTACTAATTATAGAATCCAAGAATCAAAGAATTTTGTGAAGAAAAAGAAAATTTTCCGGAATTTTTTTTGTTCACTTTCTTTCTCGAAAACAAAAATGAACTCAATTTTCTTCATCATCATCGTCGTCAATTTGTTGTTGTTGTTGTTGTTGTTTTCCAAATGAAATCAGTTCCACTTGAAATTTTATTTTATTTTTTTTTCATTTCAAGAATTTTAAAATTTTTCCACTTTATTATCGCTGTCGATGATGATGATGATGATGATTAAAAGGAACTGGGTCTAACCAACCGGAAAACAATTTATTCATTCAAGGATTGTTAGTTGGTTGATTGCTGTTTTTTTTTTTTTTTAAAAAATTTCAATTGTTGTTGCAGCAATGAATTGATTGATTGCAATTAATCGAAAGTGGTGGTGATCGATATGTGTAGCAGTGGCAGTACTAGTAGTGGTAGTGATCGATTTTTTTTTCTTGTCATTGTCAAAATTTCACTTTTTTTTCTTTTCAATAATAAAAAAAAAAAATTCTGAGTGGCAAATCAAATGACAAAGAAAAAAAATGAAATTTTCAAAAAGAAAAAAAAATGATCAAAAAATCAACTGAAATTTAGTTCCAGAAACAATTTTCAAGTATCATTGTTTGCTTGTTTTTTTCGTTGTTGTTGTTGTTGTTGTTGTTTTTCCCCAAAAAAATAGACATCCAGTTTTTTTTCAATCAAGAAATCAAGGACCGTGTGTGTGTGTGTGTGTGTATGTTACACTTGTAAATTGATGGGTCAATCAAGGTTTCATTTTGTTGTTGTTGTTGTTGTTGTTATTGCTGTCGTTTTTTCTTCGTTTCTCATGAACTTGAAACATAAAGTGCATATATATGACAAAGGAAAAAAAACATTATGGATCGTTGTCCATTACAACCAACCAACAACAAGAATGATGATCATCATTTCGATCCAAATACCGGTTTCCATTTTGTTTTTTTCGTTTTTTTTGTCTCTACTATAGATCGACACAGATCATCATCGTCAAAATGGAACAAAATGGACCCTAATTAAGATCAAATTTACTTTCGTTTCATTGAATGAGAGAGAGAGAGAATGGGAAAATTTCATGAAAAGTTTCTGCCTCCTACTTTTACGGGAAAAATTTTTCCTTTTTGTTGTTGTTGTTGTTGAAGAATTGATTTTTTTTCCATATCCAATCTATAGGTTTCAGTTTCGATAACGATTTCATTTTACTTTTTTTTTTGACATGATTCACGATCAACAACCAGAATCCAGAATAAAAAATATCTGAACATCGATAGAATTTAAAGACATCAACCAAAAAAAAATAAAGAAGAAGAAGCCATTAGTAGTGTATAGAAATGTTGAACAATGATGATTGTAAGTAAACCACCATTATCATCATCATCATCATCATCAAATGGGAGAAAAAAAAGTGAAAATGAACAACAACAACACAGAAAAAACAGAAATGAAAATAAATGTCCAATGAATGGAAACAGAATGAAAATTCTCACTGAATTGAACAAAGTGAAAGAAGAAGAAAAAAAAACATATTTTTCTTAACAACTTAACAACACAACAACTGATGATACAATTTTCAATAGCAACAACAACAACAACAACAAAGAATTTTTATTCTGTGTGTGTATGGAATTTCCAATTGTGGAATACGACACAACACAACACACAATCATAATAATGTTGTGTTGGATCATTGAAAAAAAACTAACTAACTAACTAAATAACTAACTAGCTGACTCCAAGAAATATCCCGAGAAAAGAATTTTTTTTTTTCGTTAAAATTTGCGACAACTATGTAATTAATTACGTCATCTCCATCATCATCTTGGATTTTTTTTTTGTTTGAAAAAATTTCAAAAAAAAAACCATTCCAACATGAAATTAAATTTTATTGTATTTCATTTTTCTCTCTTTTTCTCATTTTTTTTCCTGGATGGATTTCTACATTTTATAAAACTACTACTACTATTACTACTACTAGTATACCACCCATAAATCAATCCATTATTATTTGACTATACTATCGATGTAAGCGCATGATATCGATATCGACAATAATCGATTGTATACAAGATTGAACATCGATTGATTGATTGATTGATTGATTGAATGGATGGATGATAATTATAGATTATGTTATTATATCGAATCATTGATTGTTTTTAAAAATTTGCCTTTTCGCTTCTTTTGTGTGTGTGTGTGTTTGAAATTGATTTTTTTTTCTCTAATTGTTTTTTTTTCTTTGTAAAAACTATCGTTTTTGTTATCAAATCCGGTGTTAAAAATAAATGAAAACAACAAATAACAATAACAACTTACCACTACCATAATCTGAATCATATAACGTTTTTTTCATATGATGACCATGTAGATTATGATGATGATGATGATGATGATGATGATGTCGTCCACTATGATGTTGTTGTTGTTGTTGATGATGATGACCAATACCACCAGTAACTAATTGTGATGATTGTCTTAATGGTCCACCGGGTGATATATTTCCGCTTCCACCACAAACACTACCACTGCCACCAACACCACCACCACCGCCACCACTAGAAGCACTAATCACAGTACCAACACTATCACTAACAATAACATTTCCGGTTGTTGTTACACGAACATGGTGTTGTTGTTGTTGTTGTTGTTGTTGTTGTCGTTGAGCTGTTTGTAAAGCTTCAAGAATATCTTCATGATAACCATTTAAACTTTTTAATGTTCTTTCCACTTCGGTTAATGGTGATTCAGATCCAGCTGAATCACCGGTTGTAGATGATTGTCTATGTAATGAATGTCTTGAATGTCGTAGCTCTTGTTCCTGCTGTAATAATGTTGTTCCGGTTGTTGAATGTGGTTGTTGTTGTTGTTGTTTGCTGTGATTGGGGTGGAGGTGGTGGTGGCGGTAACGATATTAATCCAGTCGTTTGTTGTTGCTGTTGTGATTGTACACCCACAACACTACTACCGGTTATAGGATTTACAATTGAATCATTAGATGAAACCATTGCAGCAGCTACAGCAGCTGGTAAATCACCAAATGGTAAATTTGCCTGACTTAATATTGATGCCCAACGTTGTTGTTGTTGTTGATGATGTTGTTTATCTTTACAGGATAATTTTGGAAGATTATTTGGTGATAATTCAATAAAACGATGTGTAGTCGATCCTGGACCACCACCATTTTGTTCATCAATTAATAAAAGCTCATCATCTTGATCCATTAATGATGGATCAACCGGTGATGTGGCCGAATCTTTACGATTATCTTTCATATAAAGATGATGTTGCGTAGATGATGGTGTTGATGATGAATGACCGATTGTCATTCCTGTTATTCCTATTGATGGTTGCATATTCATCGGTAATGGTGGCAATGTGGTTTGTTTTTGTTGTTGTTTCATTTCCATCATTTTATCCTCACGATATGAAGGCATTGAACCGAATTTAATAATTCTTGGTATAGAATTCGATTGTGATCCAGTTAATGATAGATGATCGGGTGATGGATAACCAGGTATTGAACCAATACCACCGGTTAAATTACTTGTTAATTGTGGTGGTAATGGTGGAAGACCAGTAAATGATGAATCACGATGTGAAGCGGTTATTTGCATCTGTTTTTTGAGCATCTGACGTTCTGTTTTACCTGGCATTAAACTTCGTCGACTGTTTGAAAGAAATAAAAAAAATGAATATCAAAACAATTAGTCAGAATTAGTTGAAGACAAAATTAAAGGGAAAAATTTCTTGGAACAAAATCAATTTTATACAATTCCAAGTAATATTTATATGGACAAAATACAATGTTAGTTGAATGATAAACAGTCCAAATATATAATTGCAAAATTGTATAAGTAAAAAAAATTTCATAAAGCAAAAAAACCAAGAAATATGAGCGAAATAGAAATTGGTCATATTTGCCGGGCAACCAGCCAAACAACCGGCCGAAAAAAGGCTAAATAAACCAAAATTATCTGAAATGAAAATATAATTAATAGCAGCAAGATATCAATTAATCCGTAATGGTAGAAAAACTTTTAAAGCATCAACTTTTACACAACAACAACAACAACAACAACAACAACAACAACGACAACAACAACAGCAGCGAAAAAAACATCACATCACAATTGATGATGAGCATCGTATACGGAAATCCGTTTTAAAAAAACATCATACCGAACCGAAACAAAATCACAACTACTACTAATAACCGACTGTTAATAACAACAACAACAAAAACGACAACAACAATCCGAACCAAACAACAACAACAACGACAATTCTAAGCTGTAATAATAATTACAAATATCGTTTTTTATTTCCCAACCAAATAGAAAAAGTTCATCGTTGTATACAATTGAAATAATGCCTGTACATTCGTTTTTGTTTTGTTTTGTTGTTGTTGTTGTTGTTGTTCACTTGAATTATCAATAAAATATAAATTAATAAGTGATTAACAAAATGAAACAACAGAATGACAGAATTTTTGAATCGAAAATGAATATTCAAACCACACATAAAAAATCCAAAAGCAATCAGAATTTGGAATCTCGAATTATATTCAAAACGGGAGAAAAACAAAAATTTCAATCACAAACATATGAAATGCAATGAAATGAAAAAAAATGGCCATGATCAAAAAGAAATCGATATCGATATCGATATATTGAAATCAATTTCACATTGGCTACATTTGTTTGTAAAATCATCATCATCATCATCAACAACATCCAGTGAAATAAAAGTCTTTTTTTTTCGTTTTATGCAATAAAACAAAACAAAACAGCAGCAGCAACAACAACTAAAAAAAATCGAATCGAATCAATAGAAATTTCTTTTTTTTTTTTTTTTAGTTGATCTACACGCAGAGAATGAATTTTAGAATCAAAGATTTCGATTCTCTTTTGTTTTTTTCTGTTTTTTTCTGGTTTTCCGATCAGAAAAATATACCGGAAACAAAACAAAACAAAAAAGAACCCAATAAAAATGGCAAATAAGAATTTAGAAAATTGCAATCGCCGTCTGCTACTGCCGCTGATGATGATGATGATGATGGCGATGGCAAGAAACAAATTTAATTTTGAAAACTCATTCAATAAAATCTGCATATAGCATGTGTATGTGTCACGCAGAGAGAGAGAATGGCAAAAAAAAATCGAAATGCAATCGAAACTTTCAAAGGAGCAAAAAAAAATCTAATCAAAATGAAATCTTTTTCCATCCATTTCTGCCTTTTATGAATATATTCCTACACGAGATCAGATCTTTAGCATCAGGGGGGGTTTGTATATTAACTTTAACTCTTGATTGATTTGAATTGAAAACTATTCAAACCAAAAAAAAATAGAATTCAACAAAAAAAAATCGATAACAAAATCGAATCGGTCCAGAAATTTTATTCGATTCCTTAGTTGGATGGACGAACGAACGAAAAAAACGAATGGCCATGTTAGAAAAAAAATGATTCAAAGTTTTAAAAAGTTTTCACTCTTTCAAATGATATTGTTTCATTGTTTGTTCCATTTGGAACAACAACAACAACAATAACATATTACACCTGAATGAATCGACAACAACAACAAATACATTTGGCTCAAATGAAAATATTTTGATATTAAAGTTGAATGAATGAATGAATGAATTTCAAAGTTTCAAAATAACAAACACATTGAATGAAATGAGCAAAAATGAAATTTAAAAAAAAATCGATTGTATCGATTGTGTGTGTGTGCATGTGACCATCACCATCACATCACATCGAATCTTTTTTTGTCTTCGAATATTTTCATTCATTGTGTTTAGGGAAAATATGAAAAAAAACCATCTTGACACAAATTGATTATATCGGTGAAAAGATGAAGTGAAAAAAAAAAAAAATTATTATCATAATGAATACTAATTATTATCATCATCATCATCATCACAAGTGTTTTGTCGACTATAGAAAAGAAAAAACATAATTCATCATGATTATAAGGTATGTGTGTGCTTCATTCACATCATCATCATGGAAATTAATTAACCTTTAATCATACACAAGATTTTTTTTTTTTTTGGGGGGGGTACCATGCTAATCAGTAACGAAAATTATTCAAAACGACGAACAGAAAAAAAAATAAAAGAATAGAAAAATCGGAAACAATTCCACCATGAATCCTATGACGCCCAAGATAAAATTATCATCATCATCAGCATCTTAAAGTGACTATAATTAAAATGAATAATCACATTCTGTATATGGTTCTTTCTTTCGTTTTTCTTCTTCTTCTTCATAATTGAAAATATGAAAAGAACAAAAAAAAAAGATGAAAAAAAAGAATACGAAATTCATTCATTCATTCATTCATTTTTTTTGGAACACAACCATCCTGATTCATTCGGGTCGTCGTCATCGCCAAACCACTTTAATGTGTCACCAAATAATAATTCACACACTTTATGTGTGCAAAAAAAAGGAGGACCAAAAGAGCCCTAGTAGATGATGATGATGATGAAGACCAAAGTCATCAAAATGAACTAGTGTAGAGCACTGCACTACATTATACTATCAACTAGGTCCGATAATATGTGTATTGATGCATGAAATTAATATATATCATCATCATCATCATCATTATAATCAGCCCAAAGAGAAAGTGAAAAAAAACGCAATGATTCAAGTCCATTTCTCGTTCACTGATTCTTCTTTCATTTCAAAAAAAAAAAAAAAAAAAAAAAAAATGAATTCTTTTTTTTTCATTATCATTATTATATGAATAGACACTAATAATGGATGGATGGATGGATGGATTGGTTCACCGTCCAACCATGTGTGTATACTATACTTTGAGATGTACTACATTTGATGATAGTTGTAGTAGTAGTAGTAGTACTAGTCGTGGTAATATGATGGACAACAATTTTTGGATCAATGATGATGATGAGTCTCTTGTTTTTAGTTTAAAAAAAAAATTTTCAACAACGCTCCAATTGGCCACCACTGTAATATATTGGCCATTATTATCATCATCGTCATAGATAATGACCGACAATGATTTTTTTTTTTTTTGTTTAACAATCAATGATGATAATGATGATGATTAGAGATATGGACAAAATTTCAATGTATAATCAGTGCAATTATTTATTAATTGAGTGAGTATCATAAATGTGTGTGTGTGTGTGTTATATAATAATAATAATGAATTGATGATTTATATACAGAATACAGAATTTTTTTTGGCACTCTAATCATGATGATGATGGAAAATTATTTTCTAGGTTTTCATTTTCACTGTCTGTCTGTTTTGTACCAACTGTTCAGTAAATATCTGGATCGATAATGATAAAATAAACTTAATAAATTGAAAACTTAATTCTCAATCAATCACACAACAACAACAACAAATTTGATTGGCAAAAACGAAAAAAAATTCTGCTTTGGATAATCCTCGATTTTTTTTTTTTGGGGCACAATTCTCAAGAAAAATGCTGTCTGATGTTTAAAAGTTTCAACAGAATTTTTCCGTTTTTGTCTTGAATGAATTTAACTCTTTTTTTTGCCATCTCTAGTAGATTGATGGATTATTATTATTATTATAGACTAGACTAGAAAAATTAAGCTCTAATGATGATGATGATGGTCTCCAATCGAAATCACTCATACACACACACACACATGTACAATGTATCAATTTAAAAGTTGGAATTTTTTTTCCTCCATATTCAAAGAATTCCACGATTGATTAGCTTTCGATCGATGATTAAATCACAATGATTGATGAATGAAAACGAATGAGAAGAAGTCAAGCATTTTATCCATGGTTAGTGTGTGTGTGTGTGTGTGTGTGTGCTGGTTTTTATAGTTTCCAATTCGTTAGATATTCTGTGTATTTTGTTTTGTTTTTATTCATTCATTAAAAAAAATGAAGAATAAGAGGGAGAAGAAGGCAAAGAATCATTGATTTTCGTAAAGAAGTATGAGGAGCGATGAACCGAAACCATCGTCGTTTCTAATTTTTTTTTTTTTTTTTTGGTATTCTGAACCAATTTCCATATATTATAATCATTCATTTATTTATTGGGTAGGCCAAGCAAAAAAAAGTCTGCGTGTGTGTGTTCCGTGTGTTCTTAACTATTTCTTTTTTCCATGTTCTAGTTAGTTAGTTAGTTAACTTTTAACTCGTTCTCACAAATTCTTTGATCTTTGCATTGAAATTATTATTATTATTATTATTATTATTATTAGCCAGGAAAAAAAAAAAGAATTTCATTATTCAACGAAAGAGCGAAACAAAAAAAAAAAAAAAAATTTGAATAAATGAAATTCTTCAATAAAATGATGATGATCAAAATGGAATTGAAAAAAAAAAACAATGAAGGAAATGCTACTCTCTCTCTCTCTCTATTGGCATTATGATCATCATCGATTGATAGAATCGATGGACAGACATTTCTTGTTTATTTGTTCTACATTACTTACCGATAACACATGGCCATTAAGGCAAAAAATATGAATACACCGCCAACAATGGAAACCAATATTAATGCCGATTGTGCTGCCGATAATGAACTATTTTTACTGTCTGTTTGCAAAAAAAAAAATTGAAATGCAAAAGAAAAAAAAATTCAAAATATGAAAACAGGAAAAAAAACGAAAAAAAAAATTACCATATTCTTTAATATTACGACTAGTCTGACTGAATAGATTGTCCATGAATGTTGTAAAATTTATATTCGGTTCCTGTCCAGATGATGATGATGATGATGATGGATCGACAGGTGTCGGTGGTGATGGTAATAATAAATCATCATTATTATTGTTGTTGTTGTTGTTGTTTATATCATCAATATTGATTGAAGCTAATTCAGCATCAGTTAAACGATGATTACAATCGATACCAATATAACCAATATCACATGTACATGTATTTATATTTGAACATTGGCCATGACCAGAACAAATTTCACCAATAATATTTGTTGGACATCCACCACCAACACTACCACCAGAAGACGAATCACTGCCCATTATTGTATCCATTAATAAGGTTATCGATGTACATGTTTGATTTATGCAAATCTTTTTGTATATATAAAATAATGAAATGAAATGATTCGATGAAAAAAAATTTCTGAACAACAAACCTTATTATCGGCACATTTTGTTCCATCCTGTATAAGACCCATATTGATAATATCTTCACGAATTGAACCACTTGCAACTTTACATTCAAATTCAATACCACCAGTATAGACCATTGTACGAGAATATTCCTGATTTTTGGCTTTAAACAATGGTACTTGATTACCAAATTGACATTGTAATGAACCGCACATTAAATTCCTATTCATATGAATGAAAGAAAATTTTTTTTTTAGAAAAAAAAACAAATAAGAATCTGCATCATCATCATCATCATCTGTTCTTTCACTAATCACCCAATTATAGCCAAACTGTGGATAATATGGATTTTAGCAATGAACAAAAAAAAATTCCTAGTGTTCAATGGGCGTGTGTGTGTGTGTGTGGTAGGCGTATTATTTTTTAGTCAAATTAATTTTCATTCGATTCCAAACTTGCCACTACCGCTACAACTAGGGATGGCTATTAAGAGAGAGAGAAAAAAAATTTTCGATTTTTTTTTTTCATTATTATGGTTTTGTCAGATTCTTTTCTCCATCATCAATTTCCATTATTTAATTCTAAGAAGAAAAAAAAATTCCAGACAAAAAAATAAAGAGAATATTCACTTGGCCACCAATGATGGCGCTTTGTTGCATACATTTGTCACAATTGAATAAAAAAATTTGAACAATAAGTAACAATGTCCAATGTTGTTTCCGGATTGTTGGATTTGTTCGTTAGTTTTTGTTTGTTTGTTTGTTTACAAGACAAACAACCATGCAAGTTTTTGTTGTTGTTGTTGTTGTTGTAAAACTAAATTCGGGATTCAGTATATATTCTGTTTTATGCGATTTATTTATGTTCTGAATTTAATTGATATATGTTCCGGACAATCATCATTTGATTTCAAATGATATAAAGTTTTCATCATCAAACAGACAAACAAACGACACAAGCATGTGTGTGTGTGTGTGTGTGTGTCATTAACACTATCAGGTTCATTAATTTCATTGTCATCATCATCATCATCATCAACATTGATGATCATTAGCATCGAATGATGCTCAAATGATCATCAATGAAGCTGATTACAACTTTTGATGATGATGAAAAAATTTTTTTAACAAAAAAAACGGGTCTTTTTTCCCTCCCCAATGTAACAAAAAAAAGGGTTAAAATAAGAATTCAATTGAAGAAAGTTCATCCTGATAATAATAATAATGATGATGATGACGTTGATGATGAAATTAAAATGAAATTAAAATTGAAATCAAAAATCAAATGACTTACTCTTCACTACATTTTAAATGTTGTCCATTTGTATCCATACCACAATTACCACGTATTGTACCTTGTGCATTAAATTGTTTATAACAAATAGATTCTGATGCTTTTGAATTTTCACCCCATAATATTGAACATTGTCTATCCAATATTGGACATTCACCATTATAACAGAATCCATTGCCATCATTACATATTTGGCCATTTCGTTTATAAACATCTGGTGGACACTGTATATATATATATATCGTATATGTTTTTTTTTTTTTTGATTGGTAGGGCGCGTTTTGGATCGATCGATTGATTTTTTTTATCATTTTTTTTTCATTGAACAATACGGTTGATGGTACGGTTGGTGGTTGTTGACCAAATTGAAGATGTCAGCAGAAAACAAAAAAAAAAAAGTTTGTTATATTATGACCAGACGGATGAATGATGTTATTGATATTTTCATTTTTTTTTTTTTCGTTGCAAACAAAATAAAAAAAAACGGAGAAAAAAATTAAATTAATCAATTTTCATTAATTGATTGATTGATTGATTATGAATATGAATATGAATATGAAGCTGAAAAAACATCTTTTCATCATCAATACTGTATTTACCTCACCATTATGGCCATCACAACGTTCAGGTAGATCGCATTCATCAGCAGCCATACGGCATACATGTCCCATTGGTTTTAGCTTTATTTAGCATTTTACAGTGTTTAGTGGTTTGTTTTGCGTTTTTTCCGTTCGTCAAAACACATAAAAAAAAAAATGAAAATGAAATCAAAAGAAAAATGAAAAATTAAAATCACTATACAACAACATTGCAGAAAAAATATTCGGCAATTTAATGATTTTTCTTTACAACCAAACAAACAGAAATATGAAAAAAAATCACAAAAATATGACCTTAAGGGCAGAATTCTGTGATCATGATGATGATGATGATGATGATGGCAATGAATGAATCGAACCGGAAATAATGATATCGAATAAAGAGCTTCTTTTTTTCTATCAATAATCAAGTTGTGTGTTTGTGTTTGTGTGTGTAGTGTATATAGTCAAGTGTTTTCTAGTTTCTAGTTCCCGACAACAACAAAAAAACAGAAAACCAGAAATTTCTCAGGGCATAATTAAGACTTTGAAAAAATTCTGTTATATAACAGAATAACAGAATTTTCTCAAAGTATCACACAACAAATAATATCATCAATCGATTGTTGTTTTTGTCGTAAATAATACTGTAAATAACATAAAGCATAAACATAACTTTTTGTCTCCAATACCAGTGTTGTTGTTGTTGTTGTTGTTCCAAATGGAACAAATGATAATAATAATGTTGTTGTTGTTGTCATCATCATCATTAGAATTTTCTCTTTTTTTTTGGTTATCATTTCCTTCTAAAAGAATGGATAACATTTTTCACTGAAAAAAATAAAGAAAAAAAAAACAAAAAACAGAAACGAAACAAATCAAATCAAATTAACCCCTTTATTTATTTTTTTTTTTTCGTCGATTGATTCTGATTCTGACAAAAAAAAAAAGTTTTTTCTGTCTTGTTTGCTGTTTGTTTGTTTGTTTTGTTTATTTACTTCATTCATACACAAAACATTCTATCAGTATAGTTGAGCTAGAATCGGTTTCCATTTCAAATTTGGTTCGATTCCAGTATTTCCATTTATTCATTCATTCATTCATTCATTTGACTGTGTGTGTGTGTGTGGTTCCCAACAAAGAAAAAAAACTAACTAAATTCTTTCCTTCCATTCTTCATTCATTTTTTTCTTCTCTCTCTCTCTCTCTCTCTCTGCAAGTGTAGAATAAGTGTGTGTGTGTGGACATGAATGAATGGCTAAAAGAATTTCGGAACTAACACACACACACATGCACACATTCTATGAATTCCTATTCAATTCTGATGAATGGGCAATGACGGCGGCGATGATGATGATGATGATAATGATAATAAGCATCATTCTTATATCTTTTTTTTTCTTCGTCGTCGTCGTCGTCCATGTTTTGTATTTGATAATAATATTGGACAATCAAAATTTTTTTTTTTTTTTTTTTTTTGCTTGAATGATACAATATTTTTCATCATAATAATAATATATATAAAATATATAATAGTTTAGTAGTCATCATCATCATCATCATCGTCGAGTTATTGTCATTGTCATAAATGATGATAATGATGGCAACAACAACAACAACAACAACAAAAGAAATCTCAATCTTTTCACATTAAAACAGAGAAACATTTTTTTTTCTTCACATTATGCTATGATACTGTATTTCTAGTATATAGACATTCGTTTTTTTTTGGAATTTGGAATGAATGAAAATTTCCCAAAAATAAAAAAAAATGAATGGACAGTAACGGCAACAACAAGAAAGAAAAAAGAAAGTGAGAAAATTCACACACACACACACACACACACACACATTGATGTCTCAATTCTAGACTTAATTTTCATTCATATGTGGAAAAAAAATGAATTTCGATATTTTAAAAAATCGATCTATTTATAAAATTACACACACACACACACACACAGAGAGAGAATCAATATCTGATAGTTTGATCAGAAATTTTATTCATAGAGATTATTCATCTTTATGGTATGATATATTCATGAGCTGTGTGCTGAACAAACAAACAAACACACCCTACATCCTTGAATCGCAAAAAAAATTTCTAATTCTGTTCTAACAATATTCGCATTGGTGAATACTAGTTACATCATCATCATCATCATCATCGTCGACGTCACTTTGGTTCTTTTTTTTCTGGATCAAATTGATCATAATTAAATTAGATTCTATACTGACTGACTAAACACACACACACACACACACAAACACAGACAGATATCATATGTAAAGACAGACAAGCAATCCAAAAAAAAGGGCACAAGGGACATTTATATATATATGAATAGTACAAACAAAAAAATAGAAAATTCAATGATCCAAGAATCAAAAAGAATAATGATGAAGCATAAAGAGAGAGAGAGAAAAGAAATGTGTGCAACTATTTTGCAAAATTTAAATGGACAATTAACCATACAATCATCATGGATATTTGTCCAAATAAATGTTTCCATAAGAATTTGTATATGTTTGTCTAAATGACAACAAAAAATCAAACAAATCAGAATCATTGGATCAATTTAAATGAGCGCGCGCACACACTGAGAGAGATTGGAAAAATTTTCCACAAATCAATATTAATTGGCCAGACGTTTTTTTTCAGTGGATCATCTTGATGATTATGATGATGATGATGAACTTCAACTGATGGTTTTTATTTCATGAGAAAACTTTTTATAAAAAAAAACTTTTTCTTGGAAAAATAAAACAAGAAAAAAAAGTTTCATTTCGATCGATAATCATCATCATCAACATCATCATCAATGATTAATAATAATATGATTTTTAAAAAGCAAAAATGACAATCATATTTACCTTACAATCAGTACAGCAAGCACCATTTGAACATTCAGCTTCAACACGTAATTTACATGTGATTGGATCACAGCATGGATCTTTTTGGCTACATTCTTGAAATGATCCACAATCACATTCTTCTTCATCTTCAATAATACCATTACCACATGAACGAAAATCTTCCAATTGATTTGGTTTATTGAATAAACATATACCATGGCCAATTTGTAAGGCATTATTATAATCATCCATTGAACATTTACTAAAATGATATGGTTGCATTCGATCATCATTTAAAATATTTTTAGCCATTATACAGCCCCACCAATCATTACATTTACATGTGGATCCTATGTTTTTAGCATTTTTTTTTTTGTTAGAATTTAAAAACGAAAAAAAATTTCATCATTTCTCAAACATTCTTACCTGATGTTCCATGTTGTGTAGAATGATCCATATTACCAACAACAGTACCAATAGCAGTGATCAATGTATCTTTGGTTTCTTCATCATGTCCCATGCCGATATTATGGCCAAGCATATGTGTTACCGATGATGCTGTTAAATGTGGTTCATAAATATTTGCATCTTGACTAACACCGACAGCTTTAGCCGTACATATACTATCCGGTACAGCCATACCAACTTCACCGGAACGAAATGGTCGACCACTAGAAAAAAAAATTAAGGAAAAAAAAGAGAAATCGGTGAATTCAAATCAAATCGGTATAGTAAATCAAAACCAAAAAAAAAAATTTAGAAAATTTTTTTTTTGTTTATGTCTGCACTATTTTTCACGCCCAGTTGAATCTAAACAAACGAATCCACCACCACCACCACCAACCAACCAACAACCGCCACCAACCACCACCCACAAAAAAAGACAGATTTTGCCAGCTTGATTGGTAAAATAAAAACAAAACAAAATTGAATGGAATAAAAACAAAATGAATATATCCACATACACACACGAACAGAGACAGAAAAAAAAACGCAAGGGCATCGAAAAAAACTTAATGAAAAAATCTATTGAACTGTTAACAATAATGATTGGGCGATGTAATCACGACGACGACGACGACGACGACGATGATGATGATGATGATGATAAAGTTGGAACAAAAGCTGAAAAATAAATATAGAAAAGAAATTCTCTTTTAGCCATTTCAGTAGTGAAATGGTTCAAAGTTTGTTTTTTTTTTTTGCTTGCGTTTAGTAAAACAATCTTAATCATAATAATAACCGACCGTACATGGATGATGAATTCATTTAATTCTTTTTGGAATCTTTCTCCGACGACGACGACGACAATTGAACCGGAATAAATATAGGAAAGAGAAAAAAAACCAAAAATAAAACAAACAAAATGAAGAAGAATATTTATTTCTGCTGACAAAACAAACAAATAAATTTCAAATGTGACAGTAGATTTTCGATGTAAATAATCATTACCTTTTGGAATTTTTTGTTTTCTGTTTTATATTTTTGAAACTTTTTCCGGTAAGAGAAAAAAAAAAAAAAAAAAAAAAAAAAGTTTCCGAAAAAAAAACACCAAATGAAATTAAAAACGACCAAAACAAAACAAAACAAAACAAAAATGAAATGAAAATTGAATGTCAATCATTTAATAGTTGTGTTTCTTGTGAACAAAAAACTTGAAAAGTTTTCAAATTTTCATTTTTCTTCTTCTTTTGTTGATGGAATTTTTTCTTTCTTCAAAAGTTAATCGAATCATATAGATCTTATCAGATCAATTATTTTTTCCTTTTCATTTTCTCTTCTGCTAGTAGAAAGTTTGTTTGTTTATTCCAACATCATGATGATATTCTCATTCATTCATTCATTTTTAAGATGAATTTAATTAAAAAAAAAATGAAATTCTTTACCATGTTGAGTTGTTGTTGTTGTTGTTCATTTCCGGTTATGCCATCGTTCTCACATAAGAACGAGAGCGAATGGGGAGAGAGAGAGAGAGAAGAAAAACTTTATAATTAAATTTCATCATCAATCTTTCATCATGATGACAATGAATGAATGATGATAATGTGTGTGCCAGTTAATGGAACACATTGGTGGTTCCTGAACTGGTTTTTCTGGTTTATTTTCAATCAATGATTATTATTACTAGGAATTTTTGTTGTTTTTTTGGTTTTTGATTTGATTTTTTTGTCATCCAAATTAAAAATTGAAATAATAATCAAGTGACTTTTTTCAACAACAAAAGTGAAAAAAAAATCATCAAGTGTTTTCTTCATTCTTTGATCATCATCATCATCATCATCATCATCATACTTGAAATCAACAATCACGACTAGACTTGAATTGAATTGAATGGAATGGAATTGAATTCTAATTGTGAAAAAAAACGAAAAAACTTTGCCACTTTATGGATAGTGAATATATATAAATAAAGTGGTCATCAAATGAAATTGTCACAATCATCATTCTATTTTGAAAGAAATGTGTCAAATGTGATAATAATAATAATTTGTCTTTATTCTTTTATTATTCTTTTATTTCGTTTGTTTTGGTTTCGAGACAGAATAAAAAAAAAAATTCTTCGTTCTCATTATTTTTCGGATCCACGAAAAAAAAATGCAAAAGCAAAAAAAAACTTGGATGTGATGGATCGTTGTTATCATCATCATCATCATCAATGGCGTATTGATTCAATTCAATTGAATTCATTTTCACATTATTTCTTCTTTCTTTTTTTTTCTGGTTTGATGGTTGGTTGAATAGCAAAATGTTTGGATTACGTGCTTGGATTTTTATTATTTTCACAATGTGTATGTGTATGTGATATATGGTATACCATTTTGATTCTATGTGTGTGTGTGTGTGTGTGTGTGTGTGTGGCTCAAACACGCTCTTTTCTCTTCTCTCTCGTTTTTCAATGTTTTTTTTAGGCAAACTGAATTTCATTTTTTTTTATTCTCTTCTCTGATCATTCTGGATCGATCTCGTGTGTGTGTGTGTGTGTATGTGACAAAGAGAATATAAAGTTTTTTTTTGTCGTCTATCTAAATTTTTTGAATCGAAAACAAAGACAATTTGCATTGCCCTTTTGCATTAATAGATCGGCTATATGAAAATGTGGATGATGATGATGATGATGACGATAGTGCAGAGAAATTCAATGCTTTTTATCATCATCTTCTATATATGAACAGGAAGAATAAAAAAGAAAAAAAAATTCTAAATGGTAAAAAACAAAACAAAACAAAACAAAAATTTATGGTCGATATCATTAACCGTATATAAATGAAAACAACAACAACAACAACAACAAAACAAACAGGCACGAATTGAAAGAATTCAAGCAAAAAAACGAAACGAAAAAAATTCCCGAATCGGTCATGAAGATGAACGATTTTTTTTTTGTTTTGTTTGCAGCATCATCCATATAGAATATAAATGATGATCATGATCTTGATCATGGTGGTGGTTTCGGTTAAATGAATCAAATGTTTTTATATCGAATATGGACGAAATTATCGATACATTTCTGTGTGTGTGTGTGTGAAAAACAACAACAACAACAACAACAATCGAATTCTTTGAATATATAAAAAGGGTGGTGATGGGTAGTTGTTGTTTCTTCTAATGATAATCATATGATCATCATGATGATCATGATGATGATTGTAGCAGATGTTTATTTCAATGCTACAAAATCAACAACAAAAAAAACACGATAATGTTTTAAAACACAAAAAGAATTTCAAATCATAATGGAACGTTGAAACAAATCACATCATCATCGATATTTTTTTTTTTTTGATGCTTGAAAAAAACCACAAACCTACAAAATTCATTTCATCACACACAAACACACATTTGACATGACAAAAAAATTTGTCGATCAGTATAAAAAATGTCAAATGTGTCTGTGTGTGTGTGTTTATGTAAACATTAAATTGGTGTATATTTTCATTTTTCTTGCTTCTCAATAGATGATGTGATTATGGAAATAATGATGATGATGATGATGATCATCATCATCATTGTGATGATGATGATTATTATACTTATTCAATATTGAAAAAAGAGTCAACGTATTGCAATGTATTGGAATGTTGTATGTAAATAAAATAAAAAAATAAAATAAAATTCACGCCAACACAACACACTGCCATAAAATAACCGAAATTTTGGAAAAAATTTTCTAATGGCAAACAACAACAACAACAATTTGTTTTTATTGTTGAATCAAATGAACCACACATACACACACACACACACACATACATCCGAGACATGTAAAAAACCATTTTAAAATTATTGTTTCACAAACAAACAAACAAATGTAATATCCGGATGATGATTTTTTTTTCTTTCTATTTCATTTTGTTGTTGTTGTTGTTGTTGTTGTTATTTTCTCTTTAAATAACAATACAAATAAAATGCATGTTTTGATGAAAAAAAAACAAAAAATCATCATCAACAAAAGGGAGTAGAGGTGCATAACGGATTCTTTGTGGGCGTGGTTGTTGTTGTTGTTGATGAATAAAGTGACATATATTTCCGAGTTTTTTTTTTATTATTCTGTTAACAGAATAAAAAACAAAAAAAAAAAAAAAATACATCTACTTACACTAAAAGATGTGCTGCATCCATTGTAATTTTATATAATTTTCTTGATGCATATTCCATAAAATTGAGCAATGTTTGTCTTACATCATCACGAACATCGATTTGATTACCATTTGCCCATGTTTCAACATAAACAACCGATACACGTGTATTGATTAAACGAAAATAAACATCAACACAGTTGATTATTTGCAATGCATCATTTATAACATCCATACGGCTATTATTACGTGATATGAACTTTTTATTGTCGTTTTGTTTTGTTTGGTTTGTTTGGTTTGAAAAAAAAAGAGAAAGAAAAAAAAATTTTTTTTGGTTTTTGAATAATAACAAAAAAAAAACTAATTTAAATTTTTAATTAATATTACAACATTGATACAAACATACCATTCCTTGATCCAATACGATTGCTAATTCAATGAATTTATCTACAGCACGTACATCACGTTTTCTAGTATTTTTTCTATTATCATCATCAATATTGAGATCTTTTTCTATATTATCATCATTTATTGTTGTTGATTGTGTTGAAACAATGTTGTTGTTGTTGTTGTTGTTGTTCATTATCATTGTAGATGATGATTGTTGTTGTTGTAATTCTTGAAATAATTTTGTTGCCATATTATGATGTTGTTGTTGTTGTAGTTGACGTTGTGCAGCAGCCGCTGCAACTGAATGTATTGGACGTTTCCGGTATTGTTTAAAACCCCATTCATGCATACGTGTATTACCACATGTATGTTTTGTTGGCCGTAATGAATCTGGACTAAAATAACGATATATTACATGTGGATGGCGATGCTGTACATAAAGAGAAGGAAAAAAAATCCATTATTTATCAATCGATTGATAAATAAATGATCAATCAAACAAACAAACAAACAAACAATCAATCAATCAATTAATTAATTACCGATAGATCACCACCATAGAATGGATGTATAACAAATGTTTCATTTTGTAAATGTATCACTCCGCTAAAATTATTTTGGAAAAAGAGTAGAAGAGAGTAAAAGTGGCAAATTAATATTCTGGAAAAAATTCTTTCATTCATTCATTATCAATTATGTATTATCAACAAAGAATAGAATAGAATGTTATTTATGAAGAGAACATTCTCTTGCTTACACACATACATTCCATATACATTCAAGCAATAGAATACACATACCTAATCCCATGGCAAGTACTGAATGCTGCCAATGCGCCAGGATAATCCCTGATTGTTCCATGGTAATAACAGTTTTCATATTCCTATTTTTTTCCCCCGTTATCATCACACCATTGAATTCCAACAAATATTAAATGAAAACAAAAGAATAAAGAACATTTATATGAATAAAATGATTAAGCGAAAAAAAACCACAATTCAATATTGAATCGAAAGAAAAAAAAACCCAAGAATATCGTTAATAATGACAATAATACTCCTCATACACTTGACAACAACAACAACAACAACGATTGCCTGTAACCTTTTCTTCCACCCACCACAATTCAGTTTGGTTAGTTAAGTCCAGTGAATGAATTGTTTGTTTCGATCTGTTTCCCAAGAGAGAATCCAGAATCACAAATATTATATTATATACGGGAAAAAAAGGAAAAAAAAGTTGGGAAAACTTTCAGAATCATTTTCCTATCTCAAAAGTTTCTCGATCTACTTTTTTTTCTTTTGCATTTCCACTTTGATCGGGTTAATCCTATATAAATAATGTTCCCATTTCAAATTGGTGATTGTTGTTGTTGCGGTTGTTCCAGATTACATACAAATTTTCATTCCATCACCGTCTCTATAGATCCACAGCAAAGAATCAAGTTTTCATGGAAAAAAAATTCTTCCGGGATAAACTTAAGATTATCATACATACACACAAATGTCAGTTGCACAACATGCAATTTTTCTTTCCTCTTTAAATGTGTCTTTTGTGTGCGTCTAGAAGCAATCACATTGCGAGAAAAAAAAAATCTATTTTTATCGGAGAAAAAAAAAACCAAATCAGGTTTTTGACCAATTGACAATTTCTAGAATTCGATTGCAAAAATCTTTTGAATATTTCGTATATTAAACAAGTATAGAACTGAATAATCAAGTAGAATATATATACACATACATTCTGCACTCATTTCAACATATAGTATCTATATATTCTGTTGATGATGAAAATCAATAAATCTTTTTTTTTTCATCAATATCTTTTTCCTATGCACATGTATGCTTATATATAATTATATGGTGAAAAAAAAAATCTTCAACCATTCATCAATTCAATGAGAATAGTCAACGATCCGTTTTTGATAAAGGATTTTTTTTTTCTTTCTAGTTCAATTGAATAGAAATGTAAATAAAATAAAAATTGTCATTCCAAACATCATTCATTTCTTTTCATATAATTCTTTTCATATAATGAATTGAATTGAAAATAAAAAAAAAAAAGAAAATTACCTGTGTGGAGATATGTTGTGCACCTTCCGGTAGTAAATGTTTTTGTACTAAATTCGGTGCTAATAAAAATCTATATATGAAAAAAAAGTGAAGAAAAACAAATTTAGTTATAAACAATTGATAATTGATTTATTGTATTGGACATATACATACGAATTGAGCTCCAGATCAAGGCGAAACTTGTAATTAAAGGCTTTGATTGTAAATGATGTATGCTGATAATGGCGATCCACTTGACCAGTCTGTGTGTCAAAAATGAATAATTTTTTTTAATGATAAAAAAACCACAACAAAAATGAAGTCATCATTACCTTATTAGCCAATAAATCTCGTGTTGAAATGCCCATTTTTTCATGTTTACGTATCTGTACTGGGAATGTTACCTCATAAAAACGACTTGGTATACTTGAAATTAATCGTTCATTTTCCGGATATTGACGGGTTAATCGTTCAACTTCGGCTATCGATTATAAAAAAAAAAGAGAAAACACAACAAAATTAATAATTTATCATCAATTCATCGAATTAAATGATAAAAAAAAATGAATTTCGACATACCAACTTGTCTATGGTCTAAATCACCACGATATTGATCAAATTCTGTAAAGTTTTCAAAAAAAAATGAAACAGAATAAAAACATTATATTTTAGTGAATATGAAAAAATTAATAATTTATACAAAATAGCCGAAAATTGGCCATATAATTAAAGAATTTGTAATAAGAAAAACACACAGTTTTTCAACCTTCCAAAAAAAACCGTTCCATTTCGGTCGAAATAGAATCGAACACAAATAAACAGATCAAACAGATTTTCAGATTATTCGATGTTTTTTTTTTAGTTCGTCGAACTATCATCACAACAAATGATGATGACACGCAAACATGCATGACAAACATCAATTTTCTTTTGAATTTCTTTTTTTTTTTTTTGCTTGGTTTTATTCAGAATCATAGAGAAAAGAGAGAGAGAACGAAAGTTCCAAATGAACCACGATACATGTCGCATATTGTTGCTGAAATTCTGTTGTTGTTATCATGATCTATATGAATTTTTGTTCGTTTTTTTTATCCTTTTTTTCACTTTATCATGGTGAATCGATAGAAACATGACAAATGCACACACACACACACACACACACCTTGAATGAGATTTCATATCATAATAGTGAGTATTATCATGAATGGTAGATGAATTTGTCAAATTCAACAACAACAACAACAACAACAAAAAATGATTTTCCATCCGATAATGGTGAGTAGATCATTCAAAAAAAAAAATTTTTTATTCAAATTTTCAGGTTAAAATTAGATCTACAACAACAACAACAACAACAACAACAACAAAAATCTGCTGATTCTATTCAATAATACACAAGTGAAAATTATTCTTTCACACACACACACACACACACACACACACACACACGAATGGCTGACATTTGATTAAGTGTGTGTGTGTGTGTGTTTGTTCGAATCAAATGATCGAAGAATAGAAAATTTGAATTTGAATCCAAAATCAAAATGTGTATGTGTATTATCATGACAATATTTTTTTTCCTGGTTATTTCCATTTCAAATCTATTTATCATATCATTATCATTTTTTTTCTATCTTTACATAAAAAACAGATTTTTTTTCCTGATACTTATATCACCTTTACACACACACACACACACACACATATGCACAAATGTCGGCTTACCTGAAAAAAATTTTTCTAAAAAAAACACCCAGAATAATCAACATGATGATGATGATGATATCGATAGATATCGGTAGGTATGACCATATATAAACATACGATCCACCACCACCATCATGGAATAATGGAAAAAATTTCACTACTGGCCAACCAGACAAAACAAAAATTCGTTTGTCCATAATTTCAATAATTTAAATAATTCTGTCATTTTATTCAATTTTTGTTCATTTTTTTCCATTTTTATCTCAGTGAATACAGAGAGAGAGAGAAAAATCATTTTAAAATGAAAAATGTATTCAATTTGAAAGCCAAAACAACAACAACAACAACAAAAGTAGCGGCAGAAAACAATGAACACAAAATGAGGATGACGATGATGATGATGATGATGATGAAGCCAAACAAAAGCCGTTTCCCAACGATGATGATGATGATGATGAGAGAAATCCAGTTAGAAAAAAAAGAATAAAACAAAACAGAAAAAAATGGAAACCCAGTAAAATAAAAAAAAAAACAATGGAAACAAATTTCCGGCTGATTTCAAGTGATTCATACAATTGAATTTATTTTATTATTATGTTCATCGTATAACGAAATAGAGAGAGAGAGTGAGAGATGAAATTGTCATTGTCGTTTAGGATTGAATATGTGACAATGACGATGGAAACCAGAGAGAGAGAGAGAAAGGGGAAACAAGAATTCTGATTTGAAACCAGATGGAACAACATGGAACAACAACAACAACAACAATGGCCTTTTTTTTAGCAAATGTGGATAGAGGTGAAAATATTATCTGCTAGAAGCATACATTGTAAAAATGATGTGTGTGTGTGTGTGTGTATGACAAATCAATTTTTATATTTCCAGAAGAAAAAAATTCTTTCAAAACGATAGTTTCCATATGGTATCCACGAATATAAACGAACAAAAAAAAAAATCTTTTCTGATCGAAAAAAAAACTAAAAAACCAACCAACGAATTAATGAATGAAATTCCGATTCTGAGTCGATTCATTTTTCATTCAGACACACACACACACACACACGGATACAGAAAAATATGTTATTGTTACCCTTTTTATTCTGTTTCGGTTAGCCATTCAGCCACACACACACACATAAAAAAATGTTCCAAAAAAATTGGAACAAATCATACAAATAGTCATGGGCCTTAGTATTGGTTTGTTCTACAAAAAAAATGGATTTTTAGTCGATTTTTCAACAATGAAAATGCAATAACCACTAGACCACCATCATGTACATACATAGATTTAAATTTCATTTTCATTTCCGTTTGATTGTAATCTCTTTGTATAGCACAAACACACACCAAAAAAAGGAAGGGGTGGTTGTGTGTTGCTGTGATTCTACAATGATGATGATGATGATGATGATGTAAATTTGATGATTGATGTTAAATTAGCCATCACTATTGCGTGTTTTGTTATTGCTATATATATATATAATATATATTGTGATGATGGTAGATTTATCGTTTTTTTTATTTTATATATATATAAAACGATAAATAAATGTAACACATCAATCTAAAGTGTGTATGTGTATATACCATCATCATCATCATCATGAATCTAAAATCATAGAATGGAATATACTACTAGTAGTAGTTTTTTTTTAAGAAAATAAAATTGAAAACAACTATCTATAACATCGTCATGATGATGATGATGAGCGAGTGAGTGAGTGAGATATAAAAGCTACTGGAAGGTTTGTTGGAGATAGATTTATTGTAAAAATTTCATTTTCATTTCCGTTTGATTGTAATCATTTTCTTTCGATGCTTAATCTTCCTGATATAACAGTTGATGTAGATATTACAACTTCACAAGACAAACTTATAACTTATTCTTGCAATACACACGGATCAGAAAGAAAAAGGAAGCTGTAATTTAACAAGTTCATTTTAGTGTTCGATATGTTTGTGTGATTATGTTTGTTGATTTACTTCAGATTTTTAATATGAACTTGTTACAAATCATCTAATGCAACTTACCTCAAGTTGAATATTTGAAATATGATGATGATGATGTAAATTCACGATCGTGATTGATGTTAAATTAGTCATTTTTATTATTATTTATTTATTTATTTGCCATCACTGAGATCTTTCGTTTTTTATTTTGCGCAATCCAAATGATATATATATAAATGTGCATCATCATCATCATCATGAGATCTAAAAATCATAGAATGGAAGTCATATCTCTCAAGCGGTTTATATACCATCCGTAGATCGAGGAGAGAAAATGAGTCACGAGAAAAACTATATTTTTAAGCAAAAATATATTAAAATAAAATTGAAAACAACTATCAGATTTTAAAAATTTATAACATCGTCATGATTTTGTTTTTATATTATATATATATATAAACGATAAATAAACGTAGTGAGTGAGTGAGATATAAAAGCGATGGATGATGATTGAGCGAGTGAGTGGAGTGAGATTTTTGCATATCACCATCATCATCATCATCATTATTTGTTATGAGAAATTTGTTTCATGATGCAGTTGTAAAGAAAAAAAAACACTAACGTTATGAAAACTTTGATGGTTTCTTCGTCGTCGTCGTCGTCGTCGTCATCGTTGTTGTTGTTGTTGTCAGTCAAAATTCTTTTCATTTTTTTTTCTTTTACGTTGGTTAAATTATAAACTTTTTTTCTCCTATTTTTTTTTCGTTCCGTTTCATCAACATTAAATACACTTGGAAAGATTTTTTTTCTCTCTCTCTCTCTCTCTTTCATTACATGGCCAAGTAAAGTTTACAGGGAAAAAGTTTTTTTTTCCTTCTCTCCATTCTTGATTGTTGAATCAATCGTCAACCACAGAAAAAAATCTCTCTTTTTGTTGTTGTTGTTGTTGTTGCTTCACACAACAAGAAACTTTCATTTTGAATTCAAAAAAAAAAAATTATTATCATCATCAGGATTGATTGAATGATTATGATTAATTGATTGATTGAAAATGTTCTGCAAACACAATAATAGCATTCATTCATTCATTCATACATCGTTACAGTAGAAAAAAAAAAAAACAATTCAAAATTGATTGATTACTGAGATCAGAGATCCACATTTGAATTGAAATATAACCAAATAGAAAGAGAAAGAAAAAGTGTGTAAAAAAAAATTTTGGTTCGAAACCAACAACAACAACCAAAATCAATTTCCGATTCCAGGAAAAAAAAACAAATCGTACATCATATTTCAATCGTATATTACACACATACCGGAATAATGTGATGATGATGACATTAATGCTGATGCTGATGATAATAATGGTGATGATGATGATGATGATGATGAATTTGACATGATAATAATGTTGGAAGCATTGGCAGTTGATAATAATGATTGTTGTTGTAACAATAAAACAATAATTGTAATAAAAATAATAATAATCGAACGATAATCATTAAATGTCATCGTCATTGATTGTTGAATTTGTTGACGATTTTGTTCCGGTCGTCGATGTTTTTTTCTTCTAGTTTTTCATCATCATCATCATCGATGTTAACGTGTTATTATTATCATCATCATCATCATTATTGTTATAATTTATTTTTAATTTATATTTAGATTTTGGCCATATTTTCCATTTAGTTAAAATAGAATTGGAATATTCATATTCATGATTATTGTTTATTGTTGTTGTTGTTGTTCAAATGTGATTGATGTTTAGTAGCAGTGATCATTATCATTGATCTTTTATGTTAATTTTTTTTTCTCTCTTTTTCTGTTATCTTCAAATTGATGATGATGATAATGATGATGATGATGAGGTAGTTGAATGAATTATAGTTGAATTTAGACCTATAATAATATCGAATAATGATAATTGACGTTCATAGTGGATGATGATGATGATGAAGACGATACAAATCGATTACGTAATCAATAATGAGAAAAAGGAGGAGCAATCGATGTGTGTATAAAGATTGTGATAAAATTTTTTTTGTTTCAAGTTCAACACACACACACACACACACACACAATCTGATCACAATTTAAACATATTGATGCTGATCATCATCAGTTTGGTTATATAATGATGTTCGATTATTTTGACATAGAAAAAAAAATGTCAAATGAAAGGATGGGCTAAAATAATACAGTAGACTATAGTTCAAATACACGAACAAAAAAAAAGGCCCAAAAAAAAAAAAAAAACACTGGCAGATAAAAAAAACCGTCAACCTCGAATATTTTGATTGAAGATCTGTGTGTGTGTGAATTATATATAATTAATTAACTTATTAATTAAGCTGATGATGATGATGATGATGATGATGATAGCTGTGATAGCTGTGTGTGTGTGTGTGTCATTAAAATTTAGTCATAATGTCAATGATGAATTTCCAACAGATTAAACAGTGGGGGAAAAAAATTGTTGTTCCACTTCAAGTTCGGCTGTTGTCATGGCTGTATGGGATAGACAAAAAAAAATTGATGATCAGAATTAGTTTAGAAAATAACAAAAAAAAAAAAAAATTTTCCAGAATTTTTTTTTCATATTTACTCATCATCATCATCATCATTTTTTCCTCAAAATTCAGCTGGTGTAACATTTGTTTTTTTTTCTCTCTTTATAATTGAACGGATAATCAAAAGAACAGAATGAAAAGAAAAAAAAATTCCTCGTTATTGTGTCCAAGTCAAAACAGAATTTACCCGGAATTAATTAATAATCCGGAATCATCATCATCGATTGCAATATGCGCATGAAAACGACGACGAATAATAAAAAAACGAATCAAAACACAGATTCTGATTATTCGAAACGAATCGACATAAAAAAATTCTTTATTTAATCAATTGAATTTTACAACAACTACAACAACAACAACAAAAAAAAATTCAATTTTCAAACCAAAAAATCTGTTCAATTTCATCGGTGATTATTATTATTGTAATTTTTTTTTACCCCTTCTATACAACACAACGTTAAACAAACAACAACAACAAAAGTCTTGCGTAAAGAATCGATAGAATATAAATGAGTATAAGTGTTGAAAAAAAAGAAAGAATTGAAAAGCGTGAAAATGAAAATTCTTATCCACCACTATTCTTCACTGTTCATTGTGTGTGTGTGTGTGTATGGTGTTGCATCATAATGAGCAAAGATATATCTCGATGATCCAAAAAAATATATATATATAAAAAATCAACATCTACATTCTAACTTTGAAAATCTCTCTAAAGATTGTTCAATCTTTAAATTCAAATAATGAAATAAGAATAGCTTGAAATTCAGCTGTTCGACAACAACAACAGCAACAACAACAACAACACAAGAATGAATTGAATCGAATGATGATGATGATGATGATGATGATGATGATGAAGATGATAATGATGAACAAATATATTCGATGAGTTATCGAATATGGAACATATATAACAAAAAGAAAAAAAAATTTCTAGAATTGATTCCAAACACAGAATCAGCAGCAGCAGCAGCAGCAGCTGTTTCGATTCCATATTTTTCCCTTCATCATCATTCGATTCAGTTTTTTTTTTATATTCAAACACAAAATGCCTAACGGATTTGTATGTTTCGTAAATTTTTTTTTCATTTTTATTTTCATATTCGAAAAATATAGACTTAAGTAGCCTGAATATTGTGTGTGTGTGTGTGTGTGTGAGAATTGAATGATAATGATGTGTGTGTGTGTGTGTGTGTGTGTGTGTGTGGATGTTCCAGAAACAGCTTTTTTTTGCTTAAATTCCAACACACACAACTGAATGACGTACAAAGTTTAGAAATTTTTTTTAGAGTTTTTTTTCCTCATTTATATCTATAGAAGATATGTGTGTGTGTGTGTGTGTGTGTGTTGGCATATAAATGCATCTTATTCTTATCGGCATCGAATATATAAATTTTATTTTTTTCATTTTCTGTCTCTCGCTATCGATTCCATATTTTTCCCTTCATCATCATTCGATTCAGTTTTTTTTATATTCAAAATGCCTAACGGATTTGTATGTTTCGTAAATTTTTTTTTTTTCATTTTATTTTCATATTCGAAAAATAAATGTGTGTGTGAAAAATCCAGAAACAGCTTTTTTTTTGCTTAAATTCCAACACACACAACTGAATGACGTACAAAGTTTAGAAATTTTTTGGTTTTTTCCTCATTTATATCATGTGTGTGTGTGTGTGTGTGTGTGTGTGTGTTGGGAATCAATCTCTCTAAAATGGATCAAAAGGGAATCAATAATAATCGCAAATGGTATTGGATGAATGGTGGTGGCAAAAAAATCTTTATCCGTTATGATCCGATTGATTTGAAATGAAGAAAAAAATTATTCTATCATTCTTTCTCGATTTCTCGAAAGAAGATTATGAATTTTGAAGAAAAGAAAAAAATATGAATCGAAATACATCATCATCATCATCATCACTATCCATTATTATTTGTCCGCCTTTCGATGGACAAAACTATCAATCGATCGATTCGCAAGTTATACCGAAATAATGGCGAAAAACGCAATGTAAAAAAATAGAAAATAAGAAGAAAAAAAATTAGCCGCAAGCCTGAATAAAGCTCACAACAAGCTTTTTGACTTTCAATCATCTAATTAGAGTTTTCTTCACTTGTTTTTATTTCAATTTTTTTTTTGTATCATCATGGTGTGTCAGCATTTTAAAAAAAAAAACGGTACCAACGATTCCTACTTTTTTTTGCTTTCAACATTCTTTGGTAACCAATGTTTTTTTTTCTATGGGCGAGGAGCGAATAAATGAGAATCAGTAGATTCTATTCACAAGCAGATGAATCATTATTATCATAGGTAGTTAGGTAGTTAGGTAGCTAGGTTTTTCAGTTCAGAAAAAAAAAGAATTAATTAAACATTCATCAAATTAATTAATCAATTAAACAATAACGAAATGATACGCAAATAAAAAACGAATGATGTTATTGTGAATGCTTTGTTGTTGTTGTTGTTGTAAAAAAAATTGATTTTTTCTGTTTTTTTCCTCCAACACAAACACACCCACCATCACAGTTCATTATAAACACTACACCCACCATCATTCAGCAGTGTGTTATTCTTATCTATTCAAACACATCTATTTAGAATGATGCAGAATATTCAATTCGTTTGCATTCTTTTTTTTTCTTTGTTTCATTTCTCAACAATCATCATCATCATCATCATCAACATCAAATGAACATGACGTGAAATGGCTATCGATGCAAAAAAATGAAAATAAAAAAAAAATTCCGGATTCTACATTATTATTATTTTATTGCACTGGGTGTGTGTCTGTGTTTTGTTTTTCTGGATTATTTTGAAAAATTTAAAATTTTCATTTCTTTAGGCTCATCATATTCATTCATTTTTTGCTTATTCGGCTAAAAAAAATTTTATTTTTGGCTGCTTTTTTTTCATCTTTGAATATGAATGATTCAAATTTCGATGAATCACAATGAAAAAAAACGAGTTCGATTCGATTGTTTCTGGATGATGATGATGATGATGGTGGTGGTGGTGGTGGTTCCAAAACACTTTGTACCATATTTGATTCCAAGAAAATATTTCTCTGTTCCAGGTACATTCATTGAACAGGATAGATATAGGTAGATACCATTTATGAAATCACAAGTGATGGTGAAGGAAGTTGATGAATAAAGAATTTGAAAGCAAAAAAAAAAGACAATTTATGGAAATTTATTGAATATATAAACTCTTTTTTTTGTCAATGTTTCTTCTTCTTCTTTTTCCATCTTTTTCTATTAGATCACCATCATCGACACACACACACACACACAAAGTTATTATTAAAATATGAAAATGTCATGTCAACACATGTGTAAAATAATAATAATAATAATAATAATGAATCAAAACAAAACTTACAACTTTTTTCTATGAAAGGTGAAACAAAAACAAACAGAATAAAAAAAATGTTTCTTTTTTTTCATTGTGTCATCATCAATAGATTTGATTAGATCAGATTAGATCAGATCAGATTTTTCACACAACTAGAAACACAATCAGAACATGTACACGCAATAAATCGATACATTGAATGAATCAAGATATTTATAGAATGTAGTCCTCCATAATGACCACCATCATCATCATCATTTAGATCACACCGTTCAAATAATCACCTAAAATGGGCGTGTGTTTTGCAATGATGATGCTAATGACATTATTATTTATTATAATAATGATGATGATTTAAACTTTGTTGTTGTTGTTGTTGTTGTTTTAACAAGTTTTCAACAAACAAAAAAAAAATCAAAACACA